CCTCCCGGTACCCGTTAACCAGGCCAGTCGCCATGGTCCTGATGGCGGCACCCTCTCCGACCGTTACCGCCAAAACGATCACCTGCCTGACCGTCCTCGTTTTCGACGTTCGTCGCCCACGCCTGGCAGTGCTGCCTTGCCAGATTCCTGGTCATCTGCAACGAAATCAGACAGCTATGAAAGCCAAAACATTCGTCCTGCCACTGAAATATTCATGTACGACACACATAACAAAAGGAAAGAAGAACGTGCAGAAGGAAAGGGATGTGAAAACAAATTCTTACCTGCTGATAATCAACAAGGCATTAAGGTCGAACCACAGATATGACCATACATGCAGGTAGCGAGTTCAGATATTTCGAAATATCGTGACATTTTTCACACATTTAAATTGAACTACATGTCATAGTCGAAAGCCATGATCAAACATGATTTGTTTCATTGGATTACCACGAGAAACCACTTTCACCATAGTAACTGAGGAAATTATACGGGAGTACGTTTGTCCAATGCGAAACCATCAAACGTCAAATCATTTTCTGCGATTGAGTCTGCCAATCTGGGACATGTGAGCCGCCAAACCCAGACTGAAGACAGGTCACTCAGGTTGGAATTAGCCGAGAAAACCACGAGCTGACCCCCAATCATCCTGAGATATAGAATACGCCTGTTTGTTTGTATTTCCGTACTGGATTCCACCTCGTCACTGTGCTTTAGTCCAGTGACTACTCCTCCAAACCACTGGTCAGTCACATGGTACCGGCACTGGCATGTGCGGCGGATGTTGTTTTGCATCCCAGGACTCCATGGACTTGCTCGCGGTCACGTCAGCTCGAGGGTGACGCGCTTTGCAAATGGGGCTCTGATATAGCACTGCCATCGCTACACTTGCTTACAATAGAGAAACATAGGAAAGTTGGTTGTATATAAGAAACATAAGAAAGTTGAAAGTACATTCAACTTGGAAAAAACTGAATTTAGAGCTGATTAAGGAGCAATTGGTTGGAATGACGTCTCCTGTAACACAATTACGGGAACACTGCAGCTACCTTTGTACTGCGATGTTCACATTGAGTCTGATTACTAGCCCTCATGAAATCCGGAACTTGCATTAGAAATTTACAGATTATGCGAACTAATCGTGATGAATGTAATCGTGCATAACGTGAATGTCATCTTGTGCGGATTATATGACCGCAGTGAAAGCGTTCGAAAGTCCAATTCATAACAAGCGATGACATCTTGCAATGTTTTCGAAAAGTGACCGGTGGAGAGACGACTTAAAGAAATAAAAGTTTGAATCTAAAACTGCGCTTAGGCCTAGGGATCAAAGCCAGCGGTGGTGAAATAAAAATGTTCAAAGACCCCATTCTTTAAAACGGATCCATAATTTCCCAATAGCTAAGTCTTAAAGTGGTGAAAGAAAAGTTTAATATCGCGCCCGCGTGTTTCCAAATCGTAGACTGAGGATGCACAATAAGCTTTACCGTTGGTCCATTTGTCACGAAGCATTATCATCTAAAAGCCAATATATGCACCAAGTGCAGTGGCGTCACTGGTTGCAGCGCGTCCGTTGCGCTATCTCCGCTCTCTGGCCTCCGTCCCATTTCTTAAACTCTGGAGAGTTGTTCCCAACCGAATATATTCCCCGTTCGTCTCAGCGTCATTTTCCCAATCCCGATGTAATATCCATGGACGAGCAATGAAAGCGGCATATACATTGTGGACGTGTCTGCTTATGCAGCGCGATGTCAATTACCTTGTAAGTCGAGTCCATCTTGAGGATGTCCCCAAGACGCTTGTCAGTTTCCAGCTGATCTCATCCAGCCTGCTCAAGACATCCAGTGCGTAGACGACGAGAAGCCATCGACTCGACAGCATCTGTGGCGGCGGTGGCAGGAACTCAGGCATGCGCAGCTGTGGTAGACCCTTGGACCTGTAATTATTGACCGTGCTACTTTACACGTTTGTGCCCCGCTTTGCGTGTTTGAGGAGCGTGGCATTGGGAATCATGTTATACCATAAGCACCAGTACAGGTAATGTTAATAATTTGTCCACCATCAATGGGAATATAACGTGACTTGGGCCATGCACCTGCTCGCTTGTCCATCACACGTAGATCACGCCACAAACTATGCATCCTTCTTGTTTTGTACAATTGTCAATATTCGTTGGCCGGAAGCTGTTGGTCCAGACTGGTTGAATTGCTTCCACGTAAATGGGATGTCACAAAACAGAGAGAAGACCGACAGAAATGCGATCCAAGTTAAATAAGGGCAATCGCTTCTACGTTAGTGGATGGCAGGAAACAGAGAAAACGCAGAAATGCAATGAAAATCAGATCAGGGTGAACACTAGATCTTCAGCCAACCACAACTCGAACAACGGCGGACGCTAGCTCTTGAACTTGTGAACATTTTGATGCTTTCAAGTTTGAAACTGGCTAGTAATTTTCTGGTGATATTGAGTTCCCTGTCCTTTCAGCCCACGTCTGACCTTGAAGCGTAGCGTTGAGAGGTCCAAACTTTTTGAAGAGAGCTAGTTCTTTCGGTAGTAAGTATTCTCGTTCCGACAAGTTTAAAATCGACCGTAATCTTTGAGTGATGTTGAGTTCCTCGCCCTTTGAGTCCGCGTTTGACCTCGAAGGGTGAACGTGAGAGGTCAGGACTTTTTGACGGACTCTAGTTCTTTCTGTGTTGAATGTTCTGATATTTGCAAGATAAAAATCGGCTGGCTATCTGTTTTGGTCATATGGAGTACCCATCCTTTTAACCCGCGCTTCGCCTTGAAGGTGGCCTGAACAGTCCATGACTGTTTGACGGGCGCCAGTTATTTCTGTGGTGAATATTCTGATATTTGCAAGTGTGAAATCCAGCGGTAATTTTTGGGTGATATTGAGTTCTCGTCTTTTGACCCGGCTTTAGACCTCAAAGGTCACATAATATTGCAAAATGAAGTTCATTTTTGAGGTTATCGTGCTATAATTCATCTTACGACCTTCAGAGAAATCGGAACACGTCGCAGAATAACTTGCTGTGTAAACCGGTAGCCTCACGGACATCTTAAGTACTCGGATCGTGACTGGCGTGCGGCGGCGGGAGAGGGTCGGCCCGACGCTGACGTCCCCGGGTTGGGCCCAGTCGGAGCAGCTGGTGTGCGAGAGACCTCCTCAAAGCCTTTCTTAACCCGCTCAGCCCGCTGACGATTCGTCGCATGTTTGTCCCTCGATCCGCGGTGTCTTACCGGGCCTCCCGCTCATGCGAAGGCCGGAGCTCTGGAGCTGCCGAGGTGCAAACTCTCCTCCACACAGAGGGGGTTTCGTTACCATGCTTCCGCCTCGTGGACCCAGCTGCCTCCTGCCGTCACTCAGCCTTCGACGCTGTCCGCGTTCCGTGTGTCGATGAGGGCTCTGAGGGCCTGAGAGCCGCTCACCCTGTTCTTGACGGCTTGGGTCTTTGGGAAACTCCACTGACTATTTGTACTTTTTGTGTGTATATGTGCTTGCGGATTGTTCCTACGAATATTGTCGCTATTTCCCCCTGGGCGCAGTTGGCTTCTATCCTCACCTCCTGTTTTGTACCTTGTACATGACACTGATCCCGAAAACCCATACTGCATGGATGAGTTGAATATTTAATAAAAATCCCTTCACCGGGAAAGGGCAATTAGTGCAAATTTTATTTTCTTCGTCTAAGCAGACATTCTCAGCTGATACCTAACTTAATACGGATTCGCCCCTCACTCCGTAGTATTTATCCGCATTGCTACGGATCCGATTCTCACTCCGTGGTGATCATCCATGTTGTATAGTGTCACGTCACGACGTCACATCGTGTGATCCTTACTCTGAGTATGTGGAGAGTCTCTGTCTGTCTCTGTCTCTGTCTCTGTCTCTGTCTCTGTCTCTCTCTCTGTCTCTCTCTCTCTCTCTCTCTCTCGGTCTCTCTCTCTCTCTCTCTCTCTCTCTCTCTCTCTCTCTTCTCCTCTCTTCTCTCTCTCTCTCTCTCTCTCTCTCTCGTGCATGTGGACATTGATTCCTTGCATTTAGCGTGCAATTATAGTTGCCATCGGATATTGTGGATTACCAACTTCTACGTGATTTCAATTCATGTGCGTGGGTGTGCGTATGCGTGTGCGCGTACGCGTGGGTGTGCGTGTGCGCGTGGGCATGTGCGTGCGTGTGCGTGCATCCGTGCATGTGTGCGTGCGACATGTGTACGCGCGTGCGTGCGTGCACAGCCTGTGCACAAACACCATCCATGAAAGCAAAAATAAAAACTGCGATTTTTCCAAAATGTTATACCGTCATAATTTTCCTTGAGCATAACACAAGAAACGACAAAAAAGAAGCTCAAGAGTACAAAGCCTAGAATGCAACGCACGTCTGGTTTGAATACTTCTATGAAGTGAAGAATATTGGCCTCAGATAACCTTGTCTTACTAGTGAAACTGTTTGATTAATGGTAGCATGTCATGTTCATAAACATATTAACAAATATGATTTCCATGCTAATATCCAGATTAATATGCGCAACCTGAAAACAAACTCTATCTTCCACTTAAGCACGATTCATCGGTGTTCTTCAACAGGTTTTGGACACTTAGGATTACCAGCACCGCTGACTGCACGGAACCTGAACACATTACACGCGAAAGCTGGACACGGTTGGTCACCACATGCAATCCTACAAAAGAGAAGTTCTTTTGAAACACATCACGCTTGAAGTATTCTATATCGAGGCCAATCTTCCCCACAAGATGCATGCCCAGGGGTTTTATCCCATGCCGTATGAGCAGCTGATGTCGTTTTACGTCTCCATTGCCGATATTTTAGGGACGAAAGCGTCAAGTCGCAGCACTACGCAGAGAGCACACCAAAACACGTTGCAAGCGGAAGGTGGAGAAAAATGTTGGTACGCCTGGCTTTTGTGGGGAATAGTTGTCCGTTGGACAAAGTATCATCCGCAGGCTTTCTGCTCTTATGCCCCACAAGACAAGATAAAGCATGCCAACTTTATTCCAGTCACATCGAGACATCATGTCTTACATACAACATGCGCGGCAGTGAATACCAGACATTGGTGACAAGTATTCACGGGATATCTCGCCGCTGGCTGGAAAGCAGCGAAAGTACTAGGATCACCCCAAACCCCCGAGCCGTCCAGCATAAACGCAGCGTTATATGTCGTGAATTCCGTGAGCTACAAATAGGACGGAATACAGGGAGGAGGTGTCACCAATCTCCGCTATGCCATTCGCCAAATGTTCAAAAAACGAGCCCAATACCAGTCTATTTCGTACCATGTGCACTGCATGGACTTCTTCACATTGCTTCCAAACGCGCATCTTTTCCGGGCCTGCTCAACACAGTGTCTGCGTGGATAATGGCCTGCATAATAAACCCTAGCAGGTCAGACAAATGAGCCGCCAAACGCCGGCCAGTCTAGCGCACCACGCCGCTGAACCTAATACAACTTAAAAAATCTAACCACCGAGCTTGATGAACAAACACCTATACCGCACTACGTAAGTCAAACAGCAATATTGCACAATCAGAATGCTAGAGCTCTCCGCTTACACTAAAAGGCCCGAGCATGCCTCCACCGTGAAACACGCGCGCCACGAGGCCGTACTGGCCCAGACCCCTCCCCCCTCTCCCGTCCCACTCCGTACCCCAAGTCGAGACACGGCGGCTTGGCAGGACTTACGCACCATGGTGAGCCTCCCTCTCCCCTCCCCCTCCAAGCAAGCAGATCCTGAGTCCGGAATCGAGCACTTCTTTTGTCTTGTCACGAGCTGCCACACTCTCTTGGGAAGGCGCAGTTCATCTAACTGCAAACACATGCACTTGTGGGCGAACCCTACCTACGCTGGAGAAGTGCCCACGGCAATGGGGTTGCCCAGGTGGTAGCAAAGGAAACGTGGTTTTGCCAATGCATTGCGGGACTAAATGAGCTTTATGTCGCGCAAATCGCAGCGTAAGAACACGCTCCGAAAATGGATTTCTCCGCATTTTCACCTGCTCGTAATGCCATTGTCAGGTTGGGCTTAATATGGCGAGTACGGCAGGAGGGTGCCTGGCAGCAGGGCTACGCGGAGATCACGGCAGTTAAGGCTGTACAGTCCCATGGAGTGACAATGATGCTTGGGACGATGATGTCGACTGGGCAAAACTTGTGTCCGGGTCTCGCTCGTACTGGTGGTGGGGATTGGACCTTACTATTCGGCCCGCTGTTATGGCGCTAAACGCTACCCGCTTCCGGAGAGGAATTCAGCATTCCTTAGTGCTATAACCGTTTGGGGGCGAACTTCATCCTTACAAAAATAATCGAAACTCAGGGTGAATACAGCCTACGGGATAATTAGTGCTTCAGGACCAACTACAACCAAATGATACCAAACGCGCTTTTGGGTCATCGCGGAGCACCGTGAGCGTTCACAAGCGGCGTCCTCAATCATACACATGTTATTACTACAGTTTGGAAACTAACTGCATGGACGGGATTCACGACGTGTATCGCAGCACTGAAAAAAGGTCTGGACATGCGTACTGGTCTGGGCCGGCGGCGCACGCCTAACGGTGCTCGGAGATGTACTTGTAGACGGCCGAGAAGTCGAGGTGGCCGTGGCCCTGATTGACCAGCAGCCGGTAGATCTGGTGGGCGGCCGAGCCGAGTGGCGTACACGCCTCGGACGCGGTGGCCGAGGCCTGCGCCAGGCCGAGGTCCTTGCACATGAGCGCCGTGCCGAACCCGCCCTAACGGACAGACTGGCGTCAACACACACCGAGCCCCCCCCCCCCCTGCCGGACGGACTGGGCGTCAACACACACCGAACCCCCACCCTGCCGACAGACTGGGCGTCAACACACACCGATCCCCCACCCTGTCGAACACACTTGGGCGTCAACACACAACCGAACCCCCCACCCTGGCCGGACAGACTGGGCGTCAACACACACCGAGCCCCCCACCCTGTCGAACAGACTGGGCGTCAACACACACCGAACCCCCACCCTGTCGAACAGACTTGGGCGCCAACACACACCGAACTCCATCCTGCCGGACAAACTGGGCATCAACATACGCCGAAACCCCACCCTGCCGAACGACTGGGCGTCAACATACGCCGAGCTCCCACCTGCCGGACAGACCTGGCGTCAACATGCACAGAACCCCCATCCTGGCCGAACAGACTGGACGTCAACATACGCCGAGCCCCCACCCTGCCGAACAGACTGGGCGTCAACACACACAGAACCCCCACCCTGCCGAACAGACTGGACATCATCATACGCCGAGCCCCCCCCCCCCCCCCCCCCACCCTGCCGAACAGACTGGGCGTCAACATACGCCGAGCCCCCACCCTGCCGAACAGACTGGGCATCAACATACGCCGAGCCCCACCCTGCCGAACAGACTGGGCATCAACATACGTCGAGCCCCCACCCTACCGAACAGACTGGGCACCAACATACGTCGAGCCCCCACCCTGCCGAACAGACTGGGCATCAACATACGCCGAGCCCCCACCCTGCCGAACAGACTGGGCGTCAACATGCACCGAGCCCCCACCCTGCCGAACAGACTGGGCATCAACATGCACCGAGCCCCCACCCTGCCGGACAGACTGGGCGTCAACATGCACCGAATCCCCACCCTGCCGAACAGACTGGGCATCAACATGCACCGAGCCCCCCACCCTGCCGGACAGACTGGGCGTCAACATGCACCGAGCCCCCACCCTGCCGAACAGACTGGGCATCAACATACGTCGAGCCCCCACCCTGCCCAACAGACTGGGCATCAACCTGCGCCGAGGCCCTACCCTGCCGACCAGACTGGGTGTCAACACACCGTCACCAAGGCCCATCATGCCGACCAGGCCCGATCGCAGACCGTCCGACAGTCCGAATTAGGGCAATACACTCCAGAAGCAGACGCAAGCTAGCGCTAAAACGCGTCCAGGTGGCCGGCTGGATACCCTTCGCTCGGGTAGGGGGTCAATTTGAGCCACCTGAGATCTCAAGAATTCATAGTGCTTGACACCAAAGTCACAAGGTGTGTTAGCGTGTACGTAAACTCACTTAGTTCAAAATTGACATTCCTGGGTCAAATGACCTTGGGTCAAATAAGGTCAAACAAGATCAAACTCCAGAATGGTCTGCAAAGTGCCCCCAGAATCTAGAGACCTGTTCTAAAGAAAAGGCCACTACTCCCTTAAGGTCAGTGACCCTGTTTGACATTTTACAGGGTATGGTGACCAGAATGCTGCGAGACTGCTTTGGGTTTTGCATTTGAATCAGCAACAAGGACTACGCTAGGCAGAATGTTCTTAGAAACAAAATGTTGACCTGGGTCATTTTGGGTCGGTGGCCAATTGTGGACTTTAAGAAGTCCATGAAATATGTACAATGCGGTTCCCGTTATTAATTAACTCGAAAGGGGCACCAGAAACTACCCCGTACAGCAGGCCCTGAAGTAATTAAGCATGTTAGTTTTGTCCATGGCCTGACCTTCATACCTGACCCTAGGTCAATGGAATTTGTTCATTCAATTATTGTGTTGCCTAATAAAGTATCTCAGAGATGTATGGCTTCGTCTAACACTCCGTGGTTGAATCAGAATGAACTATTTCCTACAAATTGACCTCGCTGAATCCATGGCCTGACTTTGACGTGCCGTACGTCAGCGACCTTACAAGGTACTTATACTTGTTTGATACCAAACGACCCGTTATTCCATTGTGTGCGGCTATGCAAAATTTGGCGTCGCTATGTCGGGCCGTTAGGAAACCAATCCGAAAAACCTTCGGGGGTCAATTTGACCCCCACCCGGGCGCATGCTAACCGACTCATGCAACAACATGACAAGCAAGCGGAAAAATACGTTTTTCAGGTTACGACGATGGCCGGTCAAGCAATAAAGGCGGTGATGGTGCGAGGGCTCACCTTGTAGTCGTTGGAAGAGGGCACGTTCTCCATGATGCCCGGCACGGGATTGTAGGAGTCGATGGCCCAGCAGCGGCCGGTGCTGGTGGCCAGGATCTTCGCCAGCAGTTTGGGGTCGAGGCCGAGCCTGGCCGGTGAAGGTGGGGTCATCAGTCTGACCCGGGGCTGCACTGCACGATCTGAGCTACAATCAACACGCGCACAAGGCGGAGGCAAGTTATAGTTATGCAGATGATTACTCTGCCACGCATCACCCGGGTGCCGCATTGTATGCTTCCTCTTTATCTCAGAAGTATGTTTAAAAACCCGCTTGGCAAACTGCACTCCACTCTTTTAACCCATACGAGATCACAAACCACATTCTGATGTCCGCCGGCCGCTATGCCAGACACCTCGCCGCACTCGCCGAACCCCCGCCTCCTGACTCCGGCCGGACGCTGAAACTCCGCCTCCCGACTCCGGCAGGCGCCGAACCCTTACCTCCTGACTCCGACCGACGCCGAACCCCGGCCTCCTGACTCCCGCCGACGCCGAACCCCGGCCCCCTGAATCCGGCCGAGGCCGAACCCCGGCCCCTGACTCCGGCCAACGCCGAACTCCCGCCTCCTGACTCCGGCCGACGCCGAGCGCCGCCTCCCGACTCCGGCAGGCGCCGAACCCCCGCCTCCTGACTCCGGCAGGCGCCGAACCCCCGCCTCCTGACTCCGGCCGACGCCGAACCCCGGCCTCCTGACTCCGGCCGACACCGAACCCCACCTCCCGACTCCGGCCGACGCCGAACCCTTGCCTCCTGGCTCCGACCGACGCCAAACCCCTGCCTCCCGACTCCGGCAGGCGCCGCGGCCACCGCCTGGGCCCGGCCCGCTCACCTGGTGCCCAGGTTCATGGTCTCGGCAGCACCGATCATGCTGACGGCCAGCATCATGTTGTTGCAGATCTTGGCCGCCTGACCGCTGCCCACGGCGCCGCAGTGCACAATGTTCTGGCCCATGCACTCCAGCAGCTGGCGGGCGGCGGCGAATTTGCCGTCCGGTCCACCCACCATGAAGGTGAGCGTGCCGCCGCGGGCCGCGTTCACCCCTGCCGACACGAGTAAGAGGTCAGCGCATCACACGGCGGTCGAGCAGCGCACAGCACCTTGGAGGCGAGACGCACGGCGTTGGCCAGCCTCACACTTGTATATAGACTGGAAGGCGCGCCGCATGCAGCACATTACAAGTGCAGTTTTCTTTGTAACGCGGCCACGTTGCCTGAACATATAAAGGACATTCCTAGCATCAAATGAAAAGAGTATACCCATAACGAGACAAGTAGTGTCCTAAAACTCTACGCAGTGGGCTTCGAAGGCGCCAGAGCTCTTACAGGAAAATAATGGAAAATGTTGCAGAATATTGCGGGAAAGAGTAACTGTTTGACGAGTCAAGCCATCTTAAAACCAACTTAGTGTTCTCACTAGGCATTAAGGACATTGAACGAGAAGTTTCAAACTTGTGGCAAAAAATTGCGAACGGCCGCAAGAGTGACTTATGGCAAAACGATGCATCCTTAAGCCCCAGGACCACTTCCAATCTTCTCTCAAGGTCCGAGAACCCCCTGAGAAGCCATAAAGAGGATGTTGCAAAATTGCACAAAGCATTGCAGAGCACACAGTGCGCATCCCGCTGCGGCACTACGCATGCACGTCTCATCAGGACCTGTTTCAAGGAATCCTAACTTAAAACCAAACTGCCCATCGTGCTCAGAGTCCCGCTCGACAAGCCATGATCCAGCGTTGTTTGACACCTGTTCGTGGTGTCGTGAGCCACAACCTCCGGCGACTGTCGCCCGAGGACGAGCGCTAGCGCGCGGCAACAACACCAGGCGCTTTTGTTCGGCAGCTGTGACGTAATAAGAGCTGACAACCTCCGAGACCGCTCGCCTTGTGTTGCCGCGCGGCCAAGGCAAGGAGAGTCAGTTGTTGAGGCGCTAATACCTACGCTCAGTAGAGGTGGCAGGTGAAGCTCTAAAAAATGTTGTTAATGATTATTTGCTTTTGCATTTTGACGCACAGAGATTGCACGGAGAGATGGTCCCGTGTCGCCGGGCTGGCAGGAAGCTGGGCGCTTTCTGTCGTTACGCTATGCCTGAGGCGCCATTTTTCAGTCACAGGGCACGTGCTACTACGGTGGAGGGGTGGAATCTCTACCACTGAACTACCGGAATGTGGGACTAGGCGTCACGTACGGGAGTGAATCGTTGTATGAGAGTAGTTCGTGACGGTACTGAAGTGCAGGCAGCACACAAACGGGACTTTCATCCTCCGCGTAATCGATTTCCTTTCATAGTAGGCGCAACAGGATCCCTTTGCCGCACAGGCACATTTTGTGTTTCCTATGAAACTTTAATTTCTTGGCTTGAAACTTGTGTCTTGTCTTGCATGCCTTGAGACTTCAATGTCCTGAAGGTAACGCGTATGCATTCTTCGGACACCGTGGGCGCCAATCCAAAGCACCAAGGTCGCGCAAGACCCTCCCCCATGTGGCTCTTGGGTAACCTTTTATTCTTTAGGACCTCTTTATCGACCTCGTGACGTTTTCATGTATCACAGACGCCATTTTAGTACCTCCGGGCACTTGTCCAGAATTTGGAACGCCATTATATTTTTAGTGTCTTAGCCTAATGGGCTATTTTCGGATGTTAGGCAAGCCATCCAGATTTCGCCGGTCCTTTTAAACATAGATAATATTTCCAGACCCCAGGAGCACCCTTTAACTCCTCGGGACCACCTCTCAAGATTTTGTTTCCTTTTGTGTGAACGTCCTTTTGCTTTTTAAGGCGTCCTCTTAGACATCAGGACGCGTTTCAGACCGCAGGGACAATGTTGGAGTCCTCAGGATGGCCCTCCGGGGATTTGGGCACTATTCTGTTCTTAAAGGCGTTCTTTTCATCATCGGGACGTGTTTTCATACATCAGGGGTGCTCTTTTGGCCATCGCGGGCACCCCCCGACATTGTGGGGCACCAAGACTCCTAAGTTCATCCTTCTAGACATCGAAGCAAATTTTCTTAGACCACACGGGCATCTTTTGCATCCTCAGAGCCCCCTAAAGGTTTGGGGCACCGTTTTTTTAAACATGAAATAGAACGGCATTCTTGTAGACTTCGGGACCTACTATCAAACCACAAGGACGCCCATTTAGCTCTCGGGGGCTTATCAGGGTATGGGATATTATTTTGCATTTTCTGAACACCTTACACCTGTTCCTGGGACATATTTCAAACGTCAATAACGCCCGTTGGGTCCTCAGGGCGCCTCTCCCGGGTTTGGGACACTCTTTTATTCTTTAAGGCCTGCACGTTGCCCTCGGGGCGCACCTCTGAACTTCAGTGGCGCCCAATGAGCCATTGGGGGCGGCTTTCCAGTTCTTGGGACGCCAATTTGTTATTAACGGTGTTCTTTTCCCCAGAACATAGAGTACGGGGCACCCAAATAAGCCCCCGGAAGACGCCTCCTCTTCAGTCCTTTGCTTTTGCTTTTCCCTCGAAGGTTTTGATGTCCTTTTAGTATTCAGGGCATCATTCTAGACTTTGTGACATACTTGCAGGACACATGGGCGTCCTCTCAACCATCAGGGGCGACTTTTCTCCTCCTCGCCCCCCCCCCCCCCTCGCCTCCCAAGGTTTGGTTAGATCTTCATGACCATTTAACAACCAGCCCTGTTCCGGTCCATTCCGGGCGTCTCTTTAGGAGCGCCTCCATAGTCAGGTGTCTTCGGCGCCCTAGAGCGGTCCCTAAAGATGCACCTTCACTTTCCGATCGGGGTGGGACTCGTGCCCCCGGTATCGGGGTGGGTTTCGATCAATTGGAATGTATTTCGATCTTCGGTTTCGGATGGAGGCTCGTGCCCACCCCCGTCCCCCTTCTCTGGACCCGTCCCTGCATGTGAACATGTCAGCGTTCACGGCCGGCGATCGCGTGTTCAGTCGTGGTCAGCCCCCACTCATTCCGCTCATCCCGCACAATGTCTGCTGGTAAGCACAAGCAATGCGGGTCACCCCTTCGCCGCATCACCCCACCACTCACCGCATCGCCCCCTTCTCCTCAGCCTTCCCAAAGGCACGGGGTCCCGACAATGGCGATTAAGCGCCACGCGCCACGTACCGCCTGAAACGGGTGCGTCCATGTAGACGGCGGACTTGGCGTCTGCTGCCAGCGCCATCTCTTGGGAGACGGCCGGATCAATGGTGCTGCTGTCGATCATCAGAGTGCCGGGCTGCACCGTACTGTGCACACGGACAGGCCGCCGCGTCAGACGGGCAGCCAGCCTTCACAGGCACCATTAGCGGCGGGCTTAACGCCAGATCACACCACGGTGACATCTCACGCCGAGAGAAAACAGAAGTGGCGGCGCACGAGGACACAAGTGGCGATCTGATATCAGCGCTGGGGACGGAGCTGAGCTAAGCAGAGGACTCTGGTTTATTCTGTCAGCAAAAAACTTTTCTTGGCCCCGGTTACTGCTCGAGAAAGTGACCAGAACTGAGCACCTGGTTTGGTTTCAGTATTGGAATATTTGGGGACGTATACATATGAAGCAGGTGGGTAAGAATATAAACCTGAATAACCCATTCAAATATTCAGATTTGACATGAGCTGAGTTCTTGTTCCTGCCAAATGTACGTTGAGGTGAAAATATGCCGGGCACGACAGCCCCATACAATTTTTCAATTGCGTTGCGGATTGGGGAGACGTCGGATGAAGGAGAAGCGCCGTTGTCGAGGGTCAGCACAGAAAATATGTAAACTGTCAACACATGAAAGCATATTAAATAATTTTCAGATAGCAGACAAAACAATGTTTTTCTCTCTGGTAAATAACTGATTGTCTAGCACCTATATTGACCACCACATTGCCATTACATAGTCCGTCGTCGTCGGCGAACGCCACGGCCACTGACCTGAGTATGCCGTTAGCACCCGCGTACACGTCCTGCACGTGCCGACTGTTGGGCAGCATGCTGACGATGCGGTCGCACCCCTCGGCCACGGCCGCCGGCGAGGAGCACACCTGGGCGCCGAGCGAGCCCAGCCGGCCGGCCGCCTCCTCCGAGACGTCGAACACCGACACGCCGTGGCCCTGGGCATGCGGAGTGTGTACGTGCTCACAGGCGCCTCGCCGTCACGCGAGCCGAGCACGGCACTGCGGACTGTCCGCACAGTATGTCCGCCGAGTTGGCGTGTCAGGAAACAATGGCCAAAGCAGGTTATTGGCATAGGAGACCCCAGCCACTGTAAGGAAGATGTACACTCGAGTGGGCAACAACACAGGTGATAAACACCATATGGGATAAGCTGTCAGAAGAAGGACTTGAACAATACCAACAGGTCATGGTGCATGTATTCACATGATTTTTGCGGCAATTTCTTGAAAAAAGAACTGTTGATGCACAAGCTATAATACAAATGAGTTGTGCCTCATACCTTGTTGATCAAGTTCTCAGCCATGGGTCCTCCCATATTTCCAAGACCGATGAAGCCCACTTTCGAGTTGGTTGCATGGCTGCCGGACGTAGCTGTTCAGGAAACAAACCATTGCAGTCTGAGACAAACATGGTCATATTCTCATACAGCAGTATCAAGCTGTAAAGCCATTAAAGACAAGTGTAAAGCTGGCAACAAGACCAACATGAGACGAATATCAGAGCATTTGAAGTTGCCTTCTAAGGGAGGATTCGTACTGGATTATGTGCATGGAATTATAAGTAGGCTTATTTTATCATATATTATGCTTCCTTTGATTTCCTCAAATGTGAAACATTCTTCAGTTCGCCAAAGGTGCGCTTATGGATCCACTTAACGCCCGGCTACCGCAAGGTGACTGGCAGCCGCCGACCGGTGGGCCGGCGAGGCAGGGGCAAGGTGCACCCGAGCAGGCGCGGAACGTCAGTGAAGAAACACTATGTGCGACAAGGACGCGCCACCACAGTAAAAGCTGAATGGGGGCCAAAATGGAATAATTGTTCCCTCAACAGCGACTGCGACTGTCTAATCATCGCATTTCTGTCCAAACTTTCACTTCTAAGCACGGCGTGAGCAACAGCTACTGAGCCCTTGCACAAACATTCTGAGCGACTGGTGGCCGGCCGATAAATAATTGAAATGCCCAACAATAGACCTCCCCATAGCTTCAATGTAAGGCCGCCTGAACTGGTTCAAATGCAAACGTACGCGTGCCTGCCCACATACCAGAGCTGTATATAACGTCCCATCGCCTACAGGTCTTCACTCACGTATCACGAGACGCAACTCTGGCCAGTTCCAAGACCAGTGTGAGACTTCCCTGCAGGCTAGATGTCAGACCGGCCAAGTCGGCACAAAGGTGGCAGGTGCGCGTCCATTTGAGACATGCTTCGACCATTTTATCAGTTTCGGAAATAAAATTGTCCAATATTCATTTTAAAAGTGTTCTGAATGACAGGTAGCCGCCCGGTTGAGTGACGCCATATGTCCAGTAACGCGATCCCTTGCGGGTGAGATGCAAGACCATCCAAATTAATAACGGCAGGACACCAGCCCCCTCCCCTACACTTTGACGGAAAATGGCCGAAGCAAAGGTAAAACACGTTGATGTCTTTTCGGAAACGGAAGGTTTTTCAGTTAAGCCTCCGAATTCTAAGTACAAAATTATGTCCCAGGTCGTTAAGGAAAACCGCCTCCCTTCCACCACACGCCAAAAATTCAGCACCGCCTCTAACCGCAGCCAAGTTGGATGGAAATCGTCCCCTTTCTTGCCACGCCCGGTATTCTCAAGGTTCTCACGCCCGGTTCTCTTAATAAGTGTGTGGGGAAAGCCCTTCCGGCTGCCGGCGGCCCCTGCAGGAGATCGCTCACCCAGACGGTGCGTTTCGCTAAGGTCACCGCCAGCTGACACTTGGGCCCGGTGGCTAGTCGCGTGGGTGACACTTCTGAAATCGGTTGGGGGAACGATCAGTCCTGTAACGTTGACCTAACCTACCCTACACCTGATCTCTTCCGGTATTTCAGCCAGTTAAATTGGCTTCCCCGACATCTATGATCAATGCTTTCATCGCCCGATGTGATCATTGCAGCTTTGAAATAAGCTTAGGATTGGATGTAATTCACAGGAGGCATCTTAGCAAGAATGTCCGATATGATCGCCGCAAATGGTCCGCAAAAAATGGTCTCGTTTATTGTTGATGGATGGTTGTCTGAGGCAAAACAGAGTTGTATGCTGAGTAGCTGGTGCAATGGCATGTTTGATCACTGAAGTGACAGAATGGTCGACAGGTGTCTCCATATGTCACATGCGTGCACAGGTACCACGTTTGTGCCATTTTGACCCTCTTGCATCCAGCCTACATAGATGTCCCCTACTAGACTTGGAGCAGTCCCATCGAGGTCCTGCCTCCTTATGCGTCAGTTATCCCCAAAAAGTGATAAGACCTTCTGTGTAGCTTTGGCATTGAAACATGCATACACACTTGCTACACTTGTGCCAGTTTAGATGGTCTTGCACCTTATTTGTAGGGAGGTCCACTGTCCGACACCTACACTACCAATCGGCGATCGCCAGCCGCTCAGACTGCTTGTGCAAGGGCTCAGTGGCTGTTACTCACACCATGTTTTGAAGCAAAAGTTTTGGATGGAAGGCAATGATTGGATGGTCATAGCTGCTGCCGCAAGAGAGCGCTTATCCCATTCCAGTCTGGCCCCTACTCCACTTTTGGGACAGTGGCATGCATTTGTTGTACTCAGCATTTCATCAATGTTCTGCACCTACCCTAGTGCATCTTGCTACAGTTTGCCTTCACCTGCCATCTGGGGGTAGCTGGGTGCAACAGAGGTTCCCTAGCAGACCTTGACTCTGTGGTTCCTGCTCTGCAATATATTAGGTTTCACCACATGTGGTACATTTTATGCTACCAATGTTCATCCAGTCTGTTCCAGAAACTGTCATGTTTTCTGACAGACTGTTCAAAGAGTTTTTAATCTGAATGGGGAAGAAACATTGTCAAACTAACTTGCACAATCTCTTACTCATCTCTTTGTATGCACATTGGAAGTTTACAACCATAAGGTCTTAAACCATAGGGCCCACCATTCAAATTGCTTCTTACTTGCTATTGACCTCCATGCATGTGCTTGAGATCTGGCAATGTGAGAGCTGAAGGCCCTGATTGAGAGCATCTTGCCTCTGAAAGAAAATCCAATGCATGATGCACACCAAAATTACTACAGGTACTTGTTGCCAAAAAACAATACAGAAAATGTGTTGGATGCATGAAATCTCAAGGATAGTTTTAGCCCTTGGGGAGAGGACAAAAATTAACAAATCACGGCTGGCAGAAAGAACAAATAGCCTATGTGAATCCACACTGTGTGCAAAACTGGTTCTGCAGGACATAGTTTAGCAGTAGCTGACATCAAACACAATGAAATAGCTGGTCTCAGTGATTGCCAAAGACCATTGAAGACTGGCTGCTTGTAATTTTAAAATGTTCCAGCTTCCTAAGAAAATGCTTTCTTCCCAAGTATATGCTCACACCTACTGTACTTTGTCAAGCCATGAGCCGATAGAAACTTGGTAGCACCGGCGCAGGCCTTGCACTCAGTCAATCGGTCTACATTATCGAAGTTTAGCAAGTAAATCATACAAAAGAGTTATCAGTACATGCACCAGACATTTCTGAATTCCTCAAACACCTTCATATAGATCTATGACCTATATAATGTCAATTAAGTACGTTTTTCCCCACGTCCGTCACTCGTTACAGTCTCCACAACCCGGCGAAGAAATCGGTGACGCAGCTGCCAGCTGATTGAAGTAAACTTCGCTAACACTTCCAGCTGATTTCATGCTGACGTCACAAGACTACAGGACCACAGCCAGTCTTAACAATTTCGTGCGGGACCGCATCTGTCTAGTGGAGGATCAAAAGAGGAAGTCACAACACTGTAGCTCTTCGTGTAGCCCCAATGGACCCATAGCCGGCAGAACAGAAACAATTTTTGGCACAGAACCCAACAAAGTTGACACATTTAGGCCTTCAGGCGACCGATGACAGTCGCAAATGGAAGTGGAAGACCCATTAGCAGCAAAAATAATGATTCGCTAGTTAGGAAAAAGGCGAGGGAAATTTTAAGGCTCCATGTGTTGTCTAGAGACCGCTCTTGTTAGGAGCCCTATATGCCACTTACCGGGTTAATCGATCGGTGATGGGCCTTCCGCGTTGCTAATGATTTCTTTATTTGTACTCGGAGGTCACTACTCTTTTGTCTGGGCAGAGATGCACGTAAGACGAAGGGCACAGCGGCATGTGCACCTCCTCCCCACCTAACTCGCATTGTCGGATTTTCAAATGCCAACCAGAGGGCCCTTTCCATCGACTACCCCCCTCCCCCCCAAGTCGATGGGATCTCCTATGTCGGTCAGGCAGCATCAGTACCTAACATTCGGCCCCGTGTCGGTCTGGACGAGGGGACCGATTTGCTAAGCGAGCACAAGACCGGGGCCCGTGACTTACAATGGTTTGGCCTCTGAGCCAATGAAACGAGTTGGCCAGAAGGCAATAGTGCGTAGCAGGGGGCCCTGTGTTGGCAAAGGGCCCAAGTCAACCGGGACCGTGTTGGAGGGCATTTAAAGAGAGACCCAAAATACCCACCGAGGCTGGCGATCAACGGCCTCATGACAAGGCTGAAGGGCCCGAAGAGCTGGCTGTAGGTCACATTCAGGTTCCCAGCCCGTAGGGCCGTGACTTCAAATGTCAATCAGATGAACTCTTGCATCATTTGAAATCCTCTGGGAGAATATTCACCTCTAGTTTGGCCAGAGGCCACCAACACCCAACGGTTAATGTCTTGTCGCTCTCAGCCCAGGAGGCCATTTCCTGAGGAGGAACAAGGCCAAGCCAAGATTTGTACCGTTCGTGGTGCCTGAAAAATGGGGAGCCATGTGTTGGCCGGTGGCCCACAGTGCCAAACAGAGGGAATTCCGTCGGCAAACCCCGCTCGATCCCGTCTGATCCCGCACGGTCCGGCCAGGTTCCTTCCGGGTCCATCTGGTCCCGTCTGGTCTCATCCTGCCTGGTGTCCCCTGATAAAGTCCGTTTTCGCCCGGTGCTGTCTCCTTTCATGACGCTGCATCTGGTTCTGTCTAACCCTGTCCGGTCATGCCAAAGCCTGTGTGGTCCCATTCTGTCCCACTCGATTCTTTTCCGTCACTTAAGGTACTGTCCAATCCTGTCTGATTCCGCCTGGTCGTTCTGTCCCGTCTAGTTTGGTCCGACCCCCATTCGTTCATGTCCAGTCCGTTCCAGGAACATGTAGTCTTATCCCATTCGGGCCCGTCTGGCCCCATTACGTTCTGCCCGCTTGCGCCTGGTCCCGTTCTGAGTGTTCCGTCTCGTCCGGTTCGTTCCAGCTGTAAGCATTTCCACCCGCGGCGGTGCGGCGCTCGCGGGCCGTTCCACGGATGACATGGTGCGGGCGCTTGGCACTGTAGATGGGCGCCGTCCTTTGCGTATCGCGCAGGCCTCGGTTGCACAGGACACCAAGGCTCAGCTGATTCGAAGAATTCTCACTAGATGGCGGGTGACGGCCGCGCTGGTTCGGCAAGCCGAGGCCAGCCGCCGAGCGATGGTAAAAGCTCTGAATCAGGTGTTCCAGGCAGGGGCGGATCCAAAGGGGAGAGGGGGGGGGGGGGCACGGGGCCCTTGGGCCCGAAGGAGCCATTGGCTCCTAGGGGGTTTATAGCCGGCCGCACGAGTGCAGTTTTTTTAAAAACACAAAACGCAACAAAACTGGACATGTCTGGACTTCTAGGCGATCAAGAACAGTTATGAGCAAAAGTGAAGAGCATTTAAGAAGTAAAAAGGCTATATGATGATAAAAAAGTTTTGAACTGGAAATTTTAAGCCTCATTACACTGGCTAGGGGCCCATACTGTTACTGGGAGACCTATATGCCCATTTGTAGAATCATTTCGATCGTTAAGGAGCATTTCACGTTGCCCTTCATTCCTCTGCATGTGCTTGAAGGGCCCTGCGCTGTTGTTGGGGCCCTTCCTGCTAGCGTACCAGGGCACTCTTGTCAACACGGGCCCTTCTATGGATTCTGTCCATTCACCAGAAAGGCTCCGTGGGCTATGGCTGGGTTCCCATATCTTAACGTGCTGCAGACGACCAAGAACAATTGTTAACAAAAATAAGACGCTCATAAACAGACGAAGTTCGTGCTTTGCTGATTGAGAAAGTGTTGCCTGGGGGAAATTTGGGCGCTCGTTACGCTATCTAGAGGCTTTATGCTGTTGGTTGCCTAATCCTGTACGTCCGCTTGCCGGTTCAATCTGATCGCTAAGGAGCTTTCCACGGTGCCCTTGATCCCTTTGAATTTCCTCATAGGGCCCAATGTGCTGTTGGGACGCCATCTGCCTCCACGCCCGAGCACTGTTGATCAATCAGGTTTTCCTCCACGGATTCTTCCCATTCGCCCGATAGCCTCTGTACGTTTTTTTTTTCCGGGGCCCCTTATGCAAGGGTACACTCAGCTGCTCAGGAGCTCTTCATATAAGCCTTGGATTTTTTTCACTTGCCTGGAGAGCCTTGTGCTGTTGCTAGGGCTCTTATAAGGTAAGGCACGGAGATACTCGATGCTCACGGGCCCTCTAATTTGATCTAGAGCTTTCTCCCTTTGGCCTGATTTGCGGAGGACTCTTCACTCCTGTCGAGGCTCGTGTTGTTAACCTGCCCGTGCACTGTTGATCACAAAGGGGTATTAATTCATGGCCTTAGGTAATATCCCTTTGCTAGGATGGTCCTGTGCTCTGGCCGGCGTCCTGCATGTCAGCCCGCCGGGGCACTACCGATCGTTTAGGGGCTCATCACGTCCGTCTTGGGTTCTCTTTGCTTGCTCTGAGAACCCTATACTTGTTGACGGGAGCCACTTTGTTGGCCTCCTGCGGTGCCCATGATCGATCAGGCTCCGTCCCTATCGGCCTTGGTACCTTCGCCTTGGAGCAGCAGTCGACTATGCGCCGATAACTTCTTACGCGCAGTTGCCGAACGTCATTTTAGATGCCACCGACGTCGTATGTGTCACTCCTGTGTCACTGGCTTTTGAGTGTGTGACACTTATTATATCAGTGCATCACGTCCTTAACATATTTGGACTACTAGGTTATGTTTTAATCCTTTAAAACAAGGGGAAAATTATGTAATAGTCATCAGCCCTCAGCTGATGAAATCGCCCAGCCGGCTAGTCGCAAATACATAAGCGAGGAGTCTAAATAAATGAAAAAGTACTCATGTATTTATACATACATATATATATATATACATATATATATATATACAACAGTAAATGCATATATATATATATATATATATACATTTGTATATATAAATATTTATATTGCATGCCTGTGTGAAATACGGCTTGTCTTTAAATGTAATGACCGAAATGCTATGATATCCCTGTTGGATACCCGGTGATAATGTTGGCTGTATCCCCCAAACAAACTTCCCAAATCCCTTTAACGAAATCCTAGATCCGGCCCTGATTCCAGGTGCCATAGCGGGGTGGTGCGAGCGTGTATCAGCTTGTATCAGTCCGACGCACACCCTTAGTGATGAAATATACATGTGCAGTGAATATACTTTTCCCTCCCTGGTGCGCTGTGCCGGGTTTTCTCTGCGGTGAACGCTAAACGAACGGTCTCGGGCCCGCACACCTGTGGCAGGCGAAGCTAGTGTGCATTTAACTGAACCACGGTGCATGGATGTGGCTACTAAGTGCAACGTGGTATTTCACGGTGAGGACTGACGCGAAGCACTGGCCAGCAACGCGAGTACTTAACGCAGTCATATATGATGTCTTCGGATCCCGTCTAATCCCACCTGGTTATGCCTGGTCCCGTCGGATCCTATCTGCATCCGTCTGCCCGGTAGCGTCATGTTCACCCAGTCTTGTCTTGACCATCCGGTCTCGCCTGGTTTGGTCCTTCCTGTCGGGTCCTGTCCCGCCCTGTCCAAAGGCTGGCCCTGTCTTATCCATCACGGCCGTTGCCACCCGGCCTGATTTCATATACATCTCAGAGATCAAGCAAAGTGATCCATGGGCCTATTCCTACAGCACAACTAGAAATATACTAGACTCGCGATACAGGCTTGATTTCTAGTTTATTCTAACTATTCGGCAGCCGGTAACTGAAGGTAGCGCAGCGCAGATCCCACAATGGTGAAGGTATTTGAAATTTAAATGAATTTTGAGTCCAGGTTGTTTTAAAGGAACTCAAGGTGCTGTACACTATATAGCTTTGACAGCATGTATCAGTTGAGAGCAAACAATTTTGCATATTTTATAGGGAACACATAGAAAAGTCCTGAAGCACTCCGGCTTCGAACACATAACCTGGGATTATGAATCCAGCGAGCTTCTGACTAAGCTGCTGAAGTTACCGGACTTATCGCGAAAGTCACTGAGTATTGTGCGCGAAAACGTTGACCCCGTACGCCGTGGGAGTTTCGTTTTTCTGGCCAAAAATGGTCGATGGATCGGATCGGAAGGCAATTAGACAATGTTTTGTTTGATGCCAGGTACATCAAAGTTGGCCTGATAGAATTCGGTCCACAGCTGTTTGAAAAGTAAGCCTTTAGCACGTGAACCCTATGGGCTAGGGGGAAAACAACGAAGTGGAGCGGTTTTACTACGAACGTACTTCTGTGGGGACTTTGAATACAGGATCTTGACTGAATACCCACGCCAGCGCGTGTTTTTATTCCAGCACTTGTGAAAATTCAAATGCAGGCAAAAATGTGCTGTAAAGCCACCAAAGTGCAGAAGTTTTTCTTTCCCGCGCTTCCACAACCTACTGCTGTAAGTGCTCACACCGGATTGACACACAAGGCAAATGTGTATATTGACCACGGAAGTGACCTCGACTGACCTCGCACCCAAATCCCCCTTGGTTACATTGACGTCGATTGCACGCGTAACATAGCTCGGCGCTAGGTAGTGCACCACAGGCCTGGGTCTGTGCTTCGGCTGAGCTTGGGCCTGGGCCTGGGGCTGCGGCTGGGCGTGGGCCTGGGACTGTGGCTAGGACTGGCCTGGCACTATGGCTGGGTCTGAGCCTGGATCTGGGCCTGGCACTAGGCCTGGGACTACGGCTGGGACTGGGTCTGGCACTGAGGCTGGGACTGGGGATGGGGCTTGCCGGGGGCGGTGGATTTTGGGAAGCAAGATCTGACTGCCCTCCACAGCGAGTATCTCTATCATAGAACTGTCGGTCTTGCCTGCCGACAGGAAGTTTTCGTTTATCTGCCCGTAGTGGCCAATGATAAAGGTCCAGTTCTTCTTCCAGCGGGTCACACCCTCCAACTCAGCTATTATCTTGTCGAACTGAATTCGGCCCATTGAAACATAGCTGACTTCCCCATCACCCGACATGTTGAGCAGGAATGGCTTTCCTGGGACGCCTGAGGCGTACACTGCGCCCTGCTGAAGGGAAGAAGATCAAGAAGAAGATCAAGAAGAGGTGTAGTGCACCATAGATGGTTGTTTTTCTAGTCTAATAGCCGAATGGTGTGCTGGAAGGGCGCAAGTGACCACCTTGTGTAGAGGCAATACAGGATAGGTAGATCAATGCGGAGGACCCCTGAACACCGAGCTTCTTGGTGCCTTACCTTATATTGGCTCCAGCGCAAGGCCCTCCGCGCAAGTGGAATGAAACCGAGACTTATGTGAATAGCAACTGAGCAACCAAGTTTACTGCGACATATCGAGCCCCGGCAGAAGCGCATAGTCTTTCGGGCGAATGAGAAGAATCCGTGGAGATCCCCTGATCGATCCCAAGTACCCATGCATGCAGGCAGGTAGTGTGCCAACAGCAGCGTTGGGCCCTACGGGAAAATGCAAAGAAATCAAGGACAACATGGAATGCTCCTCAGTGATCAGACTGACCCGGCAAGTGGACATGTAGGGCTCGGTCACAGCGTAGTGCCTCTGGACAGCGTAATGAGTCTCACAATGTCTCTCAACCACCATCCTCTCAATCAGCGAAAAATTAACGTTACCGTTCACGGGGTCTTCACTTCCGTTGGCGACTGTTTTGGTCATCTTGAGGCCCAAAAACCTCCAGTTTTACTGTGATTTTGTTTTGTTAGAAAACTGCGTCCGTCCGGCGCGTTATGGGGTTCCTTCGGAGCTTATAGGTCGCCTCGAAATGGTCCATGGGGGCAAAGTCCGATGCCTTTCCCCTCTGTATCCGCCAGCGACCCGAGCAGCTAAGTAAATGGGACCCGCCATGAGCATAGGGCCATGTATTCAAATGCGTGCCCAAGACACAATTTAGAGCGCCCAGGGATGAGCAAGTGTGCCCGAGCAGGTTAACAGATGGGGGCTCCGACGGGGTCCTCCAGTGAAATAAAAAATACCCACGACAAAATATGGGGGGGAGGGGGGCCGAACGACCCCGCGCACCCGAGTAGGCTAAAAAATAGGACCCCGACAAGGGCGTAGGGCCCTTCATTTAAAAAGGAAGTACCCAAGACCCAATGCAGATGTCCCCGAACGATTGAGTGTCCCCGAGCAGGTTATCAGAAGGGGCCCCAACAAGAGAATAGGGCCCTTCATCCAAATAAGAAGCACCCAAGACCCAGTGTGAAGGGCCCTCTCGAGTATTAAAAACGTGCTCCTTTGCAACCGGATATTCTAAGGAAGAAGAAGACCTGCTTCAGAATTGCTACGAACTTATCAGAATTGCTGCGCATTGGTCAAACGATCCGTGAGGTGCTTATGTGGTACAGCCGCCCAACCGCATCGGATGTAACAATGAAGTTAGCACTAAATTAACCCGGCTGCTTCGAGACAGAAGCATGGGGTACCACACTTGATCTATTCGTTACGTTGCTCTGCTTCCTCTATTGATCGATTTAATTTTTGCCACGCGATTTCTACATGATATTTTTACTTTTTACATAAGTATGTAAAAAGTAAAACAAATGAATGGAAAACATAAGGAAAGAAGTGGAATCGCCTGCAATTACGCTGCACCATGCGTTTATTCATGTTAAAGATGAGACCCTCGTCAAACGGATGAATGCAATACACAGACCAATCAGCAGTGGTACATTTTGTATCAGTGTAAGCGAGGGGTACGCTAAGGTGTCTTTAGGTTTACAAAAAAACATGTGTCACTGCTTCTAGGCCCCTCCTGCCAATTCGGACGCCAGTCTAATCCTGTCTTTCGTCAGAGGAATTGGTGTCGTCAGGTTTGATTCCCTGTCAAACCCCGGTTGCCATGGCGAATAACCCCGTGTCATTGGGGGGAAAGGTTCATGTTTAACGCTGTCTTTTGCCTCGGTTAGTAGTGTGCGAAGTACCGGCGTTTTAGAAGATCTCTAGTCGATTAAAAAACATGGATCAAAAACAGACCTGCCTGGTATAGTAACCGCATGTGGGCATCGTTCCACTTGTCAACGGCGTCACAATCCAAGAGCCGCCAGATCCACTCGCCTGTCAGCAGCCACGGGCTGAGGTACGGGCGTCAGTGCGTCACAGAAGGTCGCCCATTTGACTTCATGTTCCTGGCGCTGGTCATGGCGCCGGACGACGTGGCCGTCCAGCTCACCCCACGCGGGAGAGCTCCTGGCCTTGAGACACGGCCCCGATCCTGCCGCTGCCCACCGCCGACGGCCCGTAGAAAATCCTTCGATCCCGAAGTGGTATCCTCTTGATATCGGCGCCAGCAAGAGTTCGACGTCGACAGAGGTGCCGGCCGTTCTACCCGTCAACCTTCTGACCGTGTTGCTGTCTAGTCGCTGATCGCACTGCTGTTGGCGCGATCCAACAGATCCAACAATCCAGGACACGGCCTAAGGCATGGAAAGGGTCCAGCAAAAACAAGAGCCAGCTTACATTGTGCCGCCAGACCAGCAAGAGCAAATGTCTCGCCAATAATATGGACAGAGATCCCGCAAGAATCCAGAGCCAGCCTGGAAATATAGTAAAGATCCAGCGACAACCAAGGTGCAGCATCAGGTCCAAGGCACCAGCAACAACCAGAATCTCACCTGGAACTATTCTTAGAAACCATTATGCGCTCACTTGATGAGCTTACCTTGGGCACTGCGCACATGCAGATAATAACGAACATATGTAAGATATATTTGACCACAGACATCATTTCAATGACAGAATGTTAACAAATGGTAAGCTGAGCTGGTGTTGCCGAATGAGTCAGTGACAAGCAGGACTCGGGATCAAACGGTTTGTGAGTGAATGGATGGAAACCAGAAACGAAGGTGTGGTGTTTGTGACAAACAAATTGGAACCAATGACCGCATGCTGAGCTTGGAAAAGATCGGTGAGGACCGAGAGCCAGAGCCTGGTGTTGGCAAAATAACCCGTGTGATCCAGGAGCCAGGGACTGGTAATAATGAAAGAATCAGCAAAAAAAACAGGTGTTCAGGGCGTCGTTTCGATAAGTGGAAGTGGAGACCAGAAACCAACATTTAAAGCCAGGCAGGTCTGCTGGGAACGTGGACAGGTCTACGAGGACAAACCAGATTGCAAATTTAGTGACGATGTCGCACGTGACATTTCATATCCATCAAACATTCTGTTTATCAGAATGTTAAGCAGGTTTATTGTCGATCTTCTTCAGACGGAATAGTTTTTGCTCGTGGTTGCCGATTCCGAAGAATAACGTCCCAGCCCCAACAAATCACTAGTAGCTTTTCCAAATATCACCACTTTTGCCAACCATATTGTGCTGTATTATCATGAAAACATCGTAATGATAGTGCAGCATTTGGTGATTTTGGTCTCATTGTTGTCTGGCATGGACCAGAATTTCTCTAAATTTGGGCCACAAAATTGGCACATCACTCGCAAAGTATGGATACCAGGTAAGGGGAAAGAAAAGGGTACTATATTTGACCTACATGTGTTGCGATTTTTTCAGGTACTGAATGTTCTGAACTGAGTTAAACTTCAAGAAAACACGGTATGGTAGATGCAGCAATGACAATTTATTGCGTTTCGCGTGCACCAGCAGTTTTGTGAACAAGCGCATGAACCTAACTTCCATTGACATGCCTGCATGCCAGACAATTCCACGTCCACGCTCCCGTACTGGGCACACGCTTTTGGCGTCGATATTGCGCAAAATAATCTTTATTCGTCTCAGCGGTTCTCTACAACGTGCATCAGCACAGGTTGACAGATATTGGTAGAATACATTTGACTCGAATTCGTGTTCATTCCTGCATTCCTTTTTTTCCTGAGCACTCTTCGCACCATGATCCTTAAATCATATGCAGTTCCTGTTGCCATGACCATGATTTGCATTACCACGTCGAACTGGCCGTCACAAACTGACGAGCCCATTATACGAAAACCCTCCGCGCTGAACAGCAACATTTACGCGTAATTGGTGCTTGCCAACGTAGCCTCTAAAGTAAGGTGTATACACGCTCACAGTTGTTTCTTTTCCACCTCAGGATTCTAGAATATGGCGCAATAAAGACCAGAGCCAGCCCTTGAACACACTACCACAATGTGGAGTCCGGAGTATATTGCCATGGCATATGGGGTTTAATTCTGCAACATGACTTGCTCCGACCAATTAAGGGACGAGTATGATGTCTGAATTCATGGCTTCTCCCAAAGTCATGGGCTCTAGATTTATGGAGGATTGAGCGCTCTACTTATCATTTCGGTGGCCTTGAGTACAAGTATAGGGCTATGAACAACAGAGGTATGTTTTGTTGATATGCGCGTGAAACTAAGAGAAAGCACATTACAAAATGTTGCGAAACTTTTCGTATTTCTCACTATTACAAATTGTTGCGGCTTATATAACTAACATTTTCTGTTTTACAGGTCTCTATGCACCGCCAAAATAATACCGTATCACTTACTTTGATCAAGACCAACCTTTTCAGTTGCCTGCATTTCGATTAATACTGAACCGATGTGAATCATAAACCAACAAGGTTTAATAGCTACCAACAAAACGGTTCGCTTATCATTTTGATTTTATCTGCGTCTTTAAAGCATAGGATATTACATAGTAGGCGGAACATGCAACAGTGACAACATGGATGAAAAGAAGGAAGTCGATTACGTAAGTCAAGACCGAAACCACGTGGACTGCATCAAGATGGAATGGCGCGGAGCAAGGATGTGGAAGGAAAATTGGGGCTTCCTTTCGACGGGATATACCAAACTTGACGCTGATGTGAAGAAAACAGGAGAAAAGCCAACATTCTTATTAGAACTGGAATTTTCGGAGCCAAAGTACGTAGATGTCCCTGGAAATGTTTACTATTGGAGCATCGAGGCTAGCAGTGCCGTTACGCGATAGCAAGTGGCTAACTCTGTCCCAAGCAGATCTAACAGGAGCGCTTACAACATGAAGAAACAAACTATGTTCGGCACCTGACCACGAATGCCAACTGAAATAAGCGTATAGCCAGACATTGCAGCATATGGCGGGACGGCTGTATTCCATCAACAACACCGCATCAGGAATTTCTGACGCTTGTGGTAGAGTCTTGCGGCAGTGGCATTCCAGGGTTCTCTTCCGCCAGGAGCTTCTGCTGTCTTCGGCGCACGTTTCGGTCGTGTCGAATCCTCATTTCCATGATGTCCTTCATTTCTTCCATTTCTTCATCCTACAAAATGCATGATTGCTTTTAACAGCCGTTTGCCGGGCTCCACGTTTTAGTTTCAACGATCTCGGCAACTTAAATACACCAGGTATTGACTGACAAAACTTAAGTTCCAATCCACGCGTATATTCACAAAACTTTCACTTTCTTGCAGCAAGCACGCTCTATGCATATTGTTTTTAATCGTTTTCCTGAAAATGTGCCGATGCATAACTTTAAAAATATTGGCGCATCAAAAACGTTTTCTAGTGACCTTCTGGGATGAGCCGCACAGGAAGAGAAGCACTAGAACGCCAACAAATAGCAGATAACTGAAATATTCCCGCTTTTGCGTTCTGTTTCTTCCGTATCGTCATGGACTAAAGTGGCGCCACCATGAAGGCACTGTTATCGCATTCACATACAAATTCATTTTCAAGAGCAAAGCCTGGAATTAGAATTGTCACGGTGTAAGAAAAGACTATAGGCAATGAATAAAAAGCATGAATCAGTATCTTTTGCCGTGACGCTCTACCTATGGCCTCGCCCCCCACCAAAAAAACCTTATCAGTTACTTGACTCTTGTGGAGGGCTCTTCGAAAGGGACACTAGTGGCGGCATGCGGCCACAGATTCAGTATCTTATTCATGCAGCCCTGTTATTTTGCTAACTTTCTTAGCTGTTATCTGCACGATATTTCAGCAAAGTTTTGACGTAAACAATGAAACCATGCCGTGCACTACGTTTCAGTGAAATCAGCAATATGGTAGAGCTAGAGCAGGCTGCAGCGTTATGTCAAGGCGGGCCGGACCAAAGCTTGTCAAGACAGCCAAGTGCGTTGCCCTGCACTTATGTGGGTTAAAAGGCTCAGATGTCCAATTCAGTTTGCACGTTTTCGAGGGGGTAAGATTGGAAGACATATTTGACGGGCCAATGCGAAAACTTTATCCCCTTTTAATCCTCTTCGATCCTTTCAGGGTGCTGGGCCTGAAGTAAGGAACATACCTGCATACTTAAACGAATTGCGTGTTATCTTTCAGTGAGCCTCAAGTGTTCCCTGTACAATGTAGTTAGTCTGCTGACGTTGCGCCTGAGCCTGCCGATGTGACGCCAGTTTGGCATCCCAATGGGGGGGGGGGGGGGGGGCAAGCACCACACCTGGATCCTTTCATCATGATTGCGTTACAATGCGCAGAGTCACAGCCAAATAATCAGAGAAAAACGACAACATATCAGAGTCGGGGATTTATTCGTAGGGAGACCCGCCTGATGCTATCGATCGTATGCAACTGTGATAAGAAAACTGCTTTACCTGCATATTTGCTACATATCTTCAGAATTGTAAATCTGCACAGCTATGAACACAAAGCAATCGTCTACAAATTAGGTTACGCAGTTTTGCCATTATTCAACCTTTCCTCGTTTACGCATTGGCTACGGCTGGCTTCCTCTTTCCCTTCTCCGCGCTCCGCTGCTAACGCTTTGTTAGCGTAACATCCTAAAGAAGCAATGCCCTTCTAGTCCCTTCTGCACCAGAGAAAAAAAATCGTCCATTGCCCTGGTAGGAAACCAGGGGTGGCTAGCTTTCAGACTGCAGTTTATTTGGTAAAAATAACATTAATTGCAACACCACACGAGAGTGACTTTACGCTGTCAAGGCCTCTCTCTCTCTCTTCTCTCTCTCTCTCTCTCTCTCTCTCTCTCTCTCTCTCTCTCTCTCTCTCTCTCTCTCTCTCTCTCTCTCTCTCCCTCTCTCTCTCTCTCTCTCTCTCTCTCTCTCTCTCTCTCTCTCTCTCTCTCTCTCTCCTCTCTCTCTCTCTCTCCCCTGTTGCGCTTTCTTTACGCTCGATCGAACACTTTGCCCTGTCCTCCTACGCCAACTAACGTAATTTATGGATGACCGTTGATATATATATATATATATACATATATATATATATATATATATATATATATATATATATTTGTGTGTGTGTGTGTGTGTGTGTGTGTGTGTGTGTGTGTGTGTGTGTGTGTGTGTGTGTGTGTGTGTGTGTGTGTGTGTGTGTGTGTGTGTGTGTGTGTGTGTGTGTGTGTGTGTGTGTGTGTGTGTGTGTGTGTGTGTGTGTGTGTGTGTGTGTGTGTGTGTGTGTATGTGTGTGTGTGTGTGTGTACACGTATGCGACAAAGTCAGGTAAATCGCCGTGCACCGCACAAGATCATCGTTCCTCCTACCTGGCACGGCACGTGTGCGCGCTGAAACGTCCCCGGCAGTAGCCACGACACTCACCGACTGCTGAATGCGCAGTATGAGCGCCGGAGTGCCGTCCGCCATCGGCTTCGAATAGAGTTTGAGGTGCTCCAGCCGGTAGGTTGGGCTCACGCCCCTCTCCACCACCAGCACGATACGCGCCCACTGAGGACACGCAGCTCCGGTGAACGCAGCGCAGGCGAGCTGAGGTGGCGTTAGCGGCGGCGGGATTGCTCACTGTTTGTGATATGAGGCTATTTCTCTCGGGCTCTTGAGCCATTGTCGCGTAACTGGAACTCAAAGGCAAATTACACCTATGTCGCACCCGATGCCGGAGTTGGCGGGCTAGACCACCAAATCATGCACAAGTGCCGTCGCAAGCAGACGCTGGTAGTTGTCTCTCACCTGGCGCATCCACTCGTTCTTCATTTCGGCTATCTTTTGGTATGTGTTGCCCATCATGGCAATCAACATGTTGATGAGAAGAATAGCAACGCTCACCATGTACAGGATAAACAGGATCTGGGGAAATAAGACATTGTTATGCAAGAACGAAGGCACTGGAAAAAATCGCCATTAGAACCGAGGCGCCAAAATATTTCCACGGAGAGCGCAGTGAGCACCAATATAGCCTGGCGATGGTTGCCTTCAGCGGCGCAAAACAAGCAGCGCCGAACGCCACGGCTGAACACAGATGACGCGCGCCGAAATTTCTCCCGTTCGACTTTAATTTATCGAGGGCCTTGGGACACTGTATCTCTGTTTTTTTTTGTCCTTACCCCAGGCAAGAGCGCTATGTGTTCAAGCAAACCGTCTTGCGTGATAAAGCAGTTAACTGCATAGTGGTGTCAGAAATGAACACGTGGCTTGACAGCTCTAAGCGGCAATTTCCGCCGCGTTTAAAAATGGTTGTGAGGACAGCTGTTGAGTAACAACGATAATGCGTGTCCAACTCAGGACTTCCTATGGCAGTCGATGCGCCCTAAACCCCCAAATCATCATGATCATCCAACTCAGGACTTACCTGGCCAACCAGCCTCTGTCGGGTATACTTCAGATTATTATACAAGTCGCCAAAGCTGTTCATGGACGCAAGGAACATGAGCATGATGCTTTGTATGGGAGTCGCCATCGGGTTTGGAGCGCCATCAGGATGCTTGTAAGATCGGTAAATGATAAAGTATGCTGAAAAGGGTATGCCCTGTCAGTTTTTACGCGGACTTCAGGGCTATCGGCGGTGCTATTCAGAAATATGGAAGAGCTTTGAACGCTCCGAAATATGTGGCGCCGGTTTAAAAAGATCGGGTGAATATTCGTGGGGAAACAAATGACATGGTTCCTGAGGCAAAGGTAATGCTCATTCGCCACAAGGGTCATGTAAGCTGTTCAACAGTGAATGGAATTTGAATCGGACGTACAGCTTCATGGTTTACGATACTTTTTACCCCCAAAGAGTGAACTTAGCTACAAGAAGCATGGCATCAACATACACGCACCTCCACAAAAAGCCACCATGCATAAAAGCCCTTCTCCACCCAAATGAGCATTCACGAACGCCCAACTTCCCCCTGTATTGCCCCACTGACCCTGCGAGAAGCCCATGACGAACACGGTGTAGATGGTGACGAAGCGGAGCAGGTCGCCGACGATCATCTTGTAAATCATGGTGACGAACGGGCCAACTGACTTGTAGCCACGACAGAAGAAAAGGAAGTAGGGCGCCGTGCCGAGCATGACGAGCACAGCCAGCACGTCTTCGGCCGCCTGCAGACAGGCCAGCCGCAACACGACCATCGCCAGCTTCAGCAGGCACGACAGCAGGAAGATGACGCGCGATGGCACCGTCGTCTGCCGGACGGCGTGCGTTCGTCAGCAGCCGGGTGGTGGGGGCGGCGGACGTCGGGACTATTTCGGGACCCGGGTAATCAATCGCTGGATATCGAGAAACAGCTTTCAGTTTGGTCAGAGGTTGAGAAATCCCTGACATCGTTGGCGGCTGGTGAATGTAATCCATACCTTACTTTTGAATCCGGGCCGCATTCGTACCGTGCTGCTTCAATGGACACTATTAACCGCACTCACCACCAAAGTTCTCGATCCCCTTCAAGGCCGCGATGTACGCGAGGCCCACCAACGCGATGCTGACCAAATTCATACCGCTTGAGACTAGACAACTATTTGTGCTTTTAGTCCACCTCGCACGTACCAGGTTCTCGATAAACATGCTGAGGCCGAGGAAGCGGGCCTCGTTGAGGGCGTTAAGGACGTAGGCAATGGTACCGACGAGAACCAGCGCCTCGAGCGTCCAGCGCACGGCGTCCCAGGGTCCGCTGTACATCCAGAGCGTACAGCCACAGTCGGTGGCGTTCGTCTCGTTTCGGAGTGTCGGAGTCGCGCTCTGGGCTGGCGTGCTGAGGTCGGTAGTCGCGGTGCCCTGTCGCATCATCGCGGTGGTTGGAGAACCGCCCGGGATCGACGGCTGTGTCGCCGCCGTTTCCTCGCGCTTTCCGGACGCACCATCTACAGGCGGCCTGGTCGTCTGCGAAGTGGCAGCCGCGGCGCTCGATCCTGGTGTCGCGTGCGTCGTTTCTGTCGCTTTCGAGAGGGCTGCAGGCGCGGTTGGTGAGGCAGCCAAGCCTGTCTGCTGAAACTCCGAGCCAGGGGCTGGGCTGGAGAAAACTGGGTCCGCTCCACGAGGGCTCAGAGAGGGGCTGGAGGAGTCTGGTGCGCTCGAGACGTCCCGGGGTTCTCGAGAGGAGGCCGCATTGGAAGCTAGCTCGGGCGCCTGACGTCTCACACGCAGCAGATGGTCGGGCAACGCCAGGTCGTGATCAGAGGTGTTGGTGAGGGCAGGCGGTGGTGTCCCGGGAGGCTCGGTTTGGGCCAGACCGGGCGAGAGGCGGCTGGGTTTCTTTACTTTGTGGACGCCTGTCATGCACGGCCCGGGCCGCAGCGTGAAGCAGGCTAGGTTCAGCAGGAAGTAGACGCCGAATAGGATCATCATGCGCTTGAACCTGAAAACAAATCGGCAGGATTAAGTGAGCATTGAAATCTCCTACACAGAATTATAGAGTTTTATAACAGTTACACTGGAAGTTCACGTTGGAAAGTTTGTACTTGCAAATTATCATTTTATAACACACTGGCTACTTTTGTGTTAACGTTGCCTGAACCATTTTAATGGTTTGTTTCTCTCCCAAAGTATCCGGTTGCATCAGTCTATGTGAAGACGACACTTACTTTGTCTTAACGAATGCGTTCCACTTGGCCACGAGCAGGTCGACGATCACACCGTCCAGCATATCCAGGTGATCAAGGTTCTCCTGTGGAGCAAGAGTCCGACAGCATGTGCCTAATGGTACAGCACGCGCGTGATTAACAAATATATTTCGGAGGTAAACACTCGGCCGATAGACTACTGCGTAGTAATATTGCGGTGTGTCTGCATGGGCTTGCTCTCGCGTAGGCGTAGGAAATTTATGTGGCTCTAAACTGCGTTTGTTGCCGGTTGTTTTGCTCATATACATCCATTGCTGCTGGTGCCTTAGGAAAGGACATACATCTGAAATATGCATTATATTTCCAACCAATACTTGTGTAAGTTTGGTAGGTGGCCTGCCAGCCACGTACCCCGAATGCGATGAGATTCAGCGCCGAGTTCCGGTCAATCTTCCCCGTCTCCATGTCGATGGAGTCGAGGCCAGGCAGCGGATGGGCGGCACAGGTAATGTGGCCTGGAACAGAAAGCGCGCCAGCACCCAGTTTGCTTAGTCCATGATCGCCGCCAGTCTGCCTCAGCCTAGCGCGGTGACTGCTCACCGGTGTTGTACAGACTGCCCTTGACAGCCCACGTGGACCCCGTGAACTGTGCCCAGAAGATATTCTGCGCCAGGCAAAGATATGCTGCCATTGCTGTTGCCCATCATCACCGCCAAAACCGATGCAGCTAAATAAGAAATAATAAAATAGCTGAAACTGAACATTGAAGCTCAGGTTGATGACCAAACCTGCTGTCAACCCATTACGCAGCAACGCCGCCGCGCCCCAGCGCAAAACATCGCGACTCGTCTGCTTACCAATCTGCCAGTAGATCTCACGCTGCACCTTCAGGATGTGGAAAAAGATGTCCTTCTTGGCCAGCTTCGCCGCCAGCGTCAGCGGCGTCATGCCCAGACGGTTGACCATGTCGATCCTGGCTCCGCACTCGTACACCAAGTCGAACATGGACTAAGGGCAGATCGGTTTTTAGAATCCTGCCTCATAACTTGATGGCCAGGCAGAAAATATTGACGGCCGCACCAGCTCACAACGTATACCATTTCATCACCCTGAACGTTAAAGGTCATAAGCTTTTCAGATCGGATCAAAGACGTAAAACATTGCTAAACAGCATCATTCAGGAGCGGTTTCTCCGGTTCCGTTTCCAGACAACAATGCCCAACTTGTCACTGGTACGTATAACATACAAACCCTAAGCACGAAACAGATAAAGTTCAGATATTTTTCAACACTTGGTCAGCTGACATCACTATTAGACATTATATCCCTACGTTTCACTTATCAACCACAGTGCTCTTCCCTGCACTAACATGTGCCCGGATGGCCGGCTGGATACTCTTCGCTTGGATGGGGCTCATTTTACTCCCCCTTGAGATCTCAAGGGGGGAGTAAAATAAAGAGTTAAGGCATCAAATTTAATAAACATCAAAAAGTTATAAAAAAAACATCAGAGTTATGGACATCAAATTTACAGGGTGTGTTGGTATGTAGGTGAACTCATTTAGGCTAAGGTTTGAGCTTCCTAGAACATGACCTTCGGGTCAAAAACAGTCAAACAAGATCAAACTCCAGGATGGTCTCCAAAGGGCCTCTAGAACCTAAATACCTGTTGTTAGCAGAAGGTCATCTGCTCATTCAAGATCAGTGACCCTGTCTGACCTTTCTAAGATCGTGGTGACCAAAATCATGTAATACTGCTTTGAGTTTAGCATTTGAATAAGCGATAAAGGTATGACAAAGGTATGAAGAAACTAGGCAGTATTTTCTTAAAAGCCAAATGTTGGCCTGGACAGTGAACTATTCCGATCTTTAAAAAGTTCATGAAAGATGTACAATGCGGCTTCTGTTCTCAATGCATTCGGAATGAGCACCAGAAACTACCGCCTGCAACAAGCCCTAGAGTAATAAAATGGATTGATGTTGACCGTATCTAACCTTTGCACCCAACACTAGATCAATGAAATTTGTTCATTCAATTGTTGTGTTGCCTAAGAGCGAGACTGACCTGCCGTAGGTCAGCGGCCTTACAAGCTGCATCTGAATTTTTGTACTAAAAGATCTGCCGTTCAATTGTATACATCTAAGCAAAGTTTGGCGCTGCTACGCAGCGACGCTTGGACACCATCCTGGAAAAAACCTTTGAGGTAAAATTGACCCCATACGAGCTCGTGTTAAAGAAACCTACTGGCAGGGGTGAAAAGCGTCCTTTGAGTCACGAACATCATTTGAAACAGCATAAGTTCCAATTCTTTTGAACTTATAAGTTCTAAAAAATTGGAACTTATCGGCTCCAATTTTTTAACTCCCAGAGTTTAGGAAACAGGTCTAAGTGCGCAAGTGGCCGGAGAGGTGGGCTTAAAACCAATGAGTAAGCCGGTTTTCAGGGTTTAATGCATCCGAAAAATCCTCTCCATCGCTTTACTGTCAGATTGTTTATTATTTGTTATGTTAAACGTCATCTAAACTTGAAAATTACTGTGCTGCTATAGGCACGCAGCTATGACATGTGCCTATCACTACAGTGTCTGAAATGGATCTCCATAGTTTCTTCATAGTTCTAAGCCTCTACTACCTGCGCTTTCAAAATATTTACTCCCCAATCCGGAATCGTCAACCATAAATCTAGCACTGGATAGCCTATTGCAAAGCCTTGGTTACATCGATGGCTGATCGATGACCACGTAACGAGCTTGTCCGTCATTGCAGCGGCGGCGAACCACTCACTGGGGCGTTGCTATTTCGAACACGGGTCCGGCACAGGATTGGCCGCGTGTCTGACAGGAACGTGTCGGCACAGACAAGGCCGCGTGTCTGGCGTTGGAGAGGTAACATGTCCGGCACGGGAGCAGCCGTCGTGAACAGAGGCAGCAAGGATAAAACACTATTGATCCGGCCCATGTCAGAGTCACGGTAACCCACCACCAAATACAACACCCGATGAAAGCTTGACCTTACGACTACTGACGACTACTTGGGCTCATCCTTGTGTCTGTGCAGTGGATGGATGGAATTTGAATTTGTGAACATATGAAATTCAATCTTTCGTCCGAACGTAAGGCTAAATTACCCTATGACACAGACTCATCGATAACCCCCAAAACTTACAATTGGAGTTGCAACCACTTGTACCAACTACGGGTGAGCAACGCCCTCGCACCAAACGAAACCTCTTTACGACAGATGTTCCCAAAACTTGATAAATGTGTCACTTCCCAACAATGTTATCCTGGCATCAATTTAGCGGAGGATGACGTCCATGAATCTTACTGATGCTTTATTAATCTTTAATGTAGCATAACACTTTGGGGAGTGGAAATCGCCCTATAAAATGGGGGAAACGCGCCCCCCCCCCCCCCCCTAAGGGTTTCTGAGGATACCTCTCCAGTATGTCGTGCAGTCGCGCCCAAATTTTTCGGTACATTCTGAGACGCTTATTGCGGGTGTTTCGACGAGTCGCTAGCCTCGAACTAAGTTTTCAGGAGCATTGCGCACCGATCAACGGACGCACAGGCGGCGGTGTGACACTGTTACGTTAACAGAGCACTGCATGATACACATTTGCTCCGAACACATAAAACTTCGCACTGTTGTACTCAGAACAAAAGGGAATGCACCTCCTTAGATTTCGTGCCGCTTCGGAATACATGGTCTGGTACATGGAAAACTGGCATGGGACGTGGAAAACTGAAAATGCTCAACTTTCAGGAAAATCTGACCATTGATATTTGTTATGCTGGAACCCAAAACTTCTTACCAGTCGCAAAATCTAGTTGAGACAATCCGCTGTTTTTATCCGTGCAGTTCATCTACCTTAGTTCTGAAACGTTGTAGGGAGGTGTCCGACCTGACCTCGCTATCCTCGACCTCGACTTCGACCTCCCGCTATCAGTCTGTGTTGTGAAAAACGACGAATCAAGCCGAGAGCTAATGAATAAGTCATGACTAAACATCACATTGGTCATGCTCACTATGCAGTTTATCTTTTTACTTGTGCAGATTTAATGACGTGACCCTGATAGCGAAATGAAAGAAGATGTCTAAAATAGAGTTAGCAGACATCATTTGATGACATAAGGCAGATATCGCATGCACGTACATAAAGCCAGAATGGATCCCCCTCTTAAAAGTCCTCTTGGGAATCATAGCTTTAACATTGTCTGCCTCAAAGTTATCAAGACATACGTCACCATTAGCTAGGGGTTTACTTGCATGCGATAAGTAGTACAATATGATAGGCTTTGCAATGATCACAGATGGCGCCAGCTTCACATGAACAATGACCACCTTCCGCAATTGTTTTGACCCTAGATCAAAATTAGGTTCCTTGAGTGATTCCTGATTAAATCCTTGGCAGATCGATATTGAAAATTATATGACATGCAGCAGGGTAATTATCAGTTCCGCACTGAAATGCAACTGTCTGGTAACCAATGGTCTTCATGAATGCTTATTGTGTGTGTGTGTGTGTGTGTGTGTGTGTGTGTGTGTGTGTGTGTGTGGTGTGTGTGTGTGTGTGTGTGTGTGTGTGTGTGTGTGTGTGTGTGTGTGTGTGTGTGTGTGTGTGTGTGTGTGTGTGTGTGCTGAGTAGTTTTTCTACTTAAAAGCATGCTAAGCCATAAGTGAACTTATTTCACCATGTCTCATATGTGCTTCAATCTATTCAAATGTGGAGCATTCCCTGTAAAGAACCTGATGATTAGCTACGTCTTTCAAGCAGTGTGCTTCTCACGACACGAACACAACCAACGCACAGCCCTCATTGGACCCGATCCACAACCGCGTGGCGAGCATTCAAAACCATCTGTCGCAAATGACACGACTCCTTAAAACGCTGCGTAGCAGACTTATCACGTTCGCCGTAAGGTACTGATATTTTACACTGTTTAATATGTGAAGTGAATCCTGGCTGAAAAAACCGGATCTGAGAGGCATTGTAAAAGCGCTGTGTTGCCATTAATATGTGGTGTCAACACTGATATAGTATAGTTTGTAGTATAGTTCCGTCACCTGCTAAAACTACCCTGATTAAGGTAGTCAGCACTTACATAGTAAAGCTTAGAGTATATTTCTATCACCTACTAAAAACTATCCTGATTAAAACCACCATACTTGGAAGCATTTAGTGGCTCAACTTGCTGACAGAGCAAAACGTCAATGTTTCGACACATGCTCTACTTAAGCTCACACTGTAAGCGTTAGCGAGTAGAGACCAATCATTAACTTTGAGTTTGGTCTAACTGGGATGGCCCATCGTAATATGTTTTCATTCCCGCAATGTCTTCATCAAAATTTTTTGCAAAAATTCCATTTTTCGCCAATCATGTGCGGTAAATCGGACGCTTTTCTCACCCCTGGCTGCTGGTTGAGATCGTTAGGACAAAGCAGGGCTTCTTTTTAGACTGTTCCCAAACACATATATACAGCCGTAGCGTCGCCTTCTCTAAAGCCATCATAGCCTCTGATCCAGCCGGTGGCACGCGAACAGGCACGGTCTGTTTGGCACGCCACGAGGCACACGGCAGCCGGCCAGCGCGTCCAGCGAGCTCTGCTGTGGATATCAAGCAACGGACAATGCGGTCTGCGAAGCCAGCGCAGCAACACGGACAAAATCCAACGAAGCCACAGATTTTGACGGATGCGCCACGCCCCACTAGTTCTACGTGAGAAAGCTCCGTTGGTCTGGGAGAAAACGCGGTGCTTAGCCTGCACATGGCAAGGACGCTTCTTGAGGCAGCGGGAACAGGGGGGGGGGGGGGGGCACCAAAACAATATCACTCAATTTTGCGTCCGTTGCGTTGGTCTGGAAAGACATGCATTGCCACGGCGCCACTGGGTTAGCTGGCGTCGATCGCGCCTCTGCAGCCTCTCTCACCCCTCCAGTAGCTTGGCTGACCTGAAAGACACGTGACACGTGTGTGTGTGTGTGCGTGCGTGTGTGTGTACGCTAGATGACATCAAAAGGGGCTGGGACTGTTAGCTACAAGGAATGACTGCCAACGAAACCAAGAAGCATTCACCTCCAGCTGATCACAGCTAAAAAATTTTGGTCAGTGAGATCGCACTGTTGCGATGACAGTGCGGCACACGGACACTGTTTGTGTAGCGGCTTCCATCACTCGTCTGCTAAAAGCATATTAGGCGGCAACCGGGAAAATGTCCCCAGTTCTTATGGGTCTACTATCAGTACGTTAGCGAGTGCCTTGAACGAGCAGAAGTGCTAAATGCAGAACATTCGCATTTTGCGATAGGGAACACGCACACACACACACACACACACACACACACACACACACACACACACACACACACACACACACACACACACACACACACACACACACACACACATACACACACACACACACACACACACACACACACACACACACACACACAAACGGAAGAAAACCACCCGGCTGCCAGTCAGGCTTCCAAGTGGTCATCCATGGAGAGGCGATGTGCAACACACACGCATGTGGATGTCGCGGATCGCTTGCATGAATACCAATACGCTTGTGAACTGTATCCCTGGTTCTGCAAACTGATCTCGGTGAGAGAAGACATCTGCGATGCATGCAACTAACAGTCATCACCATGTTAAACGTTAAAAAAATCAGCAAGAATCCAAAATAAGGGGGATTTCGGTAAGAATTGCCGCATATCATCTTCATGTCAAATTCCTCACACATCGTTTAGTGTAACTCAAGCAGTAAGTGTTCACATCCCTGCACAGACAATGTGTTCACACCCCTTGAGGCCGTATGTTCTTATGCGCCCGCGCTGTCTCTGCACTGCAACGACTCCGGTCAGGTCTGCGACTCACCATTTTGTCGTAAATGACCAGCATATGCGCCGTGGTGTTACCGTTGGTGTCCTGGGTGTCTGGGTCCGCCCCCTGGCGGTGGTCAGTTGCAGGTTGGCTGCTCGCTTTCACACGTTCTGCTCATTAGCGTAATCGTTTTGTTGAAAATTGTAAATCCATTGCAGACTGTTGTACACTTCAGCGACACAAACGGCAAATCTATAGTTTGGTTTATTGGACGGCTTGTCACTATAAGGACTGAAAGTATTTAGACAGCTAACATATAAATTGGTTTTGAGATCCACCACGTCATTTTTAAACTTTATTGTGAGGACAATTTGAAACATTATCTACATTGTGCGCTATACAGGGAAGCTCCATCGTGCGAAGACTGTCAGCCACTAAACTCAGCAACCTGCTCGCGTCAAAAATCACACAATTGTGGCTATAACTGAGTGACAAATCAAGTCATGATTTGTTGTATGGCACAAGTGACTTACTCTAGCCAGAATAAGCCTGTAGCACTCCTCTTGACCCAGACAGGCCGCGAAGGATAGGGGATACTCCCCCCAGTAGACGTACCTGTAGGCGGGCAGCCACCAGTGAGTTAGGGCATTGTCGGTTGCAGCTCGCTTTGCGTGTCTCGGCATTTATCACCATACTTTCAGAGCCCTATTACCTACCAGAATGCATATCCACGCCAAATCAATACAAGCAAAGCACACATATGACAAGAACGGCAAAACATAGGAGAAACTGCCTGCAGATGCATGGGGTCAACTTCATTACATCTTCCAATTGCCAGTTCTTTTAGTCACGTTTACCGCCCAGGAATTAGAGGGCAACAACATCAGTGTAACAGATAGCCCACTCGGCCAACAGCAACATTCGGGCTTTCTGCAGGCACCTATATTCTACACTTTTCTTTACCCCATTCGTTGTATACGCCTTCCACCAAATTTGACGAGAGTCAAAGAAAGATTGCCTCACTGACCCCTTGTAATTCGTGTTGGCGGCGACTTGCACGATCTCGGTGCCCAGCACGTCCGTACGCGAGCTCTTCTGGTCCTCAGGGCACATGAAGTTACCGAAGCAGCGCTCATGCACGTCCACGCCGTAATTCAGCATGTACTTCACCATAGCCGGATCCTCGTTGACAATGGCAATGTGTAGGACGTTTTCGCCGTAGTACTCGTCCGCCATGTAGATGTCATTGATGAGGCGCGGAAAGAAGTGCAGCAGCCGCTTAGCCAGCTCGTTGTGGATGGAGGTGGCGTTCAGCATACATAGTAGCAGGATGCCCTCGTTGACTGCGCCCGTCTCCTCTAGCTTGAAGCAGCAAAAACGATACTTTTGCTTGTCTGCAGGCGAGTCACATAGAGGAGCGGAGTAGTAACTTCACAGGCGAAAAGCAAACAACTTAACAGCTTGGAGTAATAAGTGGCCAGCAGTGGCTGCTCGCCGTGACACTGTCAGGGGCGCATGTGCAGCTACCGCAACGGCACGTGCTTCCTCTCGCCGTGACACTTTGTCAGGGGCGCATGTGCAGCTGCAGCAACGGCACGTGCCTCCTCTCGCCGTGACATTTTGTCAGGGGCGCATGTGCAGCTACCGCAACGGCACGTGCTTCCTCTCGCCGTGACACTTTGTCAGGGGCGCATGTGCAGCTGCAGCAACGGCACGTGCCTCCTCTCGCCGTGACACTTTGTCAGGGGCGCATGTGCAGCTACAGCAACGGCACGTGCCTCCTCTCGACAGGACACTTTGTCAGGGGCGCATGTGCAGCTACAGCAACGGCACGTGCCTCCTCTCGATAGGACACTTTGTCAGGGGCGCATGTGCAGCTACCGCAACGGCACGTGCCCCCTCTCGACAGGACATTTTGACATGCACGCGGACTTAGCATGTTTTCCAACACATTCACGGCATTTCAATCGAATTATTGGGGACATTCTGGTTTCTCTCATCTGTTAGCTTGCACGTCGTTAGATGATCGTCGCTACTTCTATTTGCCCTCAACAGTCCAACCCACCAAGGGAGCCACCTTTAAACCATTAGCATTCCCTTACGAGTGCATTGGATAATTTGCGTCGAAGAACAAGGTTTGCAGTTATTCTAAGTCATGCCATGGTGATGTCATCTATTTGATTGCATGTTTTCTTTTCATCGGCCTTCATAATACCCTGTTAAACGGACAGGAGAGCTTGTTAAGCGGTTATCAACAGTTGAGTCAAAATACAGTGGTCATTCAATGACACTGCATTTATAGTTGCCAAAGTCAGGTTCCCTTTTTAAACATTTATAAGAATGTGAACTGTAAAGAGGTGTCCCGACTCAGACAACTGCAAATTGCGACCTGACATGAATTTGCTTGGCTTTAAGTTAGGAGAAAAAATACAACACCACGTTCGCTACATGTGCTTTCATGCTCCACATCCACAAACTATCTGGTTATCTGACTTGCGGCCATAATTTGTCATCGGAACCAGTGAAATGGTTTTACCATGCTTGACTGGTAACACAACCCCTAGTTCAACGAAATATGCCACCCGCAATCAACGGGCTACCGACTGTCACATGTGATTGGCTTAGCGTTCCACCAATAAGGTTTCATCGACCTCATATTAGGTGTGGAAAGCGTAAATAAGAGTTGCAGTTGCAATGAATAAAATGTTGTTTATCAGACATAGTTGTCCTATAAGTGATGAAGTAGCAGTGATGTAATTACTCGATGGAATTAAAATGAACTAAACGTGATGTAACAAAACGTAACAGCAAATAGGATAACTACTGAAGAGACCTTTCGGCTTCCATCTTCCGTATCATGATGCAGTTGTACAAAACATTTCCAAAACTCCGTGATAACTTGGATGCCAATAAAACCAATGACTTTTTAGAACGCATGAGATCGTGATGAACATCGAGGTAGAGCGCCTGTGAGGACTGCCGCTTCTGAGGCTGTTACCGTAGTTTTGCCAATCTAGAGTGGGGTCCTCGTCCTCCAGCTCCAGCGGCGGAAACTCGCCATTTTCGTCCATCACACGGCGATTGGCTTCCAGCTGAAACGAAGGGGTGTGCCAGAATGTACAGGTCGATTCGATTGAGCCGCGTCACGAACCATAGACGTCGCTGTCCTGGTAATAACGGCAGCTATTCACCAAGCTAGGCCTGCATCGTTCCTGTAGGTGATCGTAAATTTCAGATGGTATGGCTCGACAGCCAAACCCCGCCTATTGCATGACACATTGTAGCAAGGTACATCGAGACATTGGAGACACGTGTAGCTGGGAGTTTAAACGTAATGGTGAAAATCAAAATGGAAAAGTTCTCGGGCAAAGATGAAAAGCGATGAAGGCAAAGAAGGTAATGATCCAGAAAAGATTAAATGTCAAAATGGGGTGATAGAACTTAAGAGTGACTAAAATATGGTTGCCGACGCCTTGTGCGTCGGGCTGTCATGCGTGTTGCTTGGTATCCTGCTTCCGTGTTTTGTCTATGTTTCCATTTTGACTGACAGCTTTGCGTGCTTTTGGACCGACTAGTTTTGTTTGACACCTTTCATCCAACTCTTGCATTTTTTCTGTTATCTGGACATCCGAAACGTCAGCACAATGGATGACATGAACCATATACGAACTCGTGCAGCTTTGCCCATTGTCATCTTTACACAGGAAATATTGCAACATCGACATCAAGTGACGTCATATGGCTGGTCGTCACTCACCAGTTTCTGCTTGGGCCTGTCGCGATTTCGCAACAAGACCAGATGGTCAGTCGGAATGAGTCGACCCTGTCCGCCGTTGTAGAGGTAATTGACCACGCGATTCTGAATAAAGTCGTCAACCTCCGTGTAGTTCTTCGTCTTGGACGCCACCTTCATCATTTCCACCAGTTCTCCGCCACCTGAGGTGTTTGTGTAGGTCATTTCACAAATCCGGAAAGATCACGAAATCCCTTATTAATATTCGGACAGACGAAGTCCCCTACCTATGGCAGGGGAGGTACCTAGACGAAGTATGGTAGTCTAGACGGGATACGCATATAACGAACGCTCCTCTTACCCACTGGATATTTCTCGACTAAACAGAATTAAAAAGACGACGTGAAGCCATCAAATGGTCAAGAAAATGCGGACAAGATTAGCCAGGGTCACTGTTTACTGTGTTGGTCGACTTCAGTGCACCACGTCACGCGTCATGTCTCTGGCTGGCAGCCATTCGTTGATATCATTGATATTTTCTGATGTCATTGCAAGCAATTATGAACGAAGGTCTGCGTAGGTCAGTGAATGCTGGTGACATCAGGAGGGAGCTTCTGATTCGCGTGATGGAGTGAGAGTTTCAGATAAAGCATGTGGAGAGCATCGACAAAAGTCACAACCAATGGTCAAGCTCAGTAAGTCACTTATATGATCACAACAAAATATGCCTTATAGCTCAGAGTAAAGACAGCTCACAAATACTGCAAACCGTACAACCCATGGCCCGAGGTGGTGCCCAGGCCGACACGGGACTGAATGCTGACAACGGCCCCTCCTGCCGCATTCTCACAATTTCAAACCCTGGCAACCAGTGGCGGGTGGGCCGGCCGCTGTGCCGGTCGGTGCCAGATGGAGCGACACGAGGGGAGGGTGCCGGGTATTGACCAAACCGCCCCGACCTCGCCACCTGAACAGGGAGCCGTTATTCTGGGCGTCGACACGACGAATACCCGGGCCAGGGGTCGTCCAGCAAAACCGAGAAACTGTATGCTTATGCTTGGCACGATCTGAATTTACGAGTCAGTCGTGGCGAGCCACCGCTCTCATACATAGGCGTGGTTTGCAACAAGGCAACAAATGTTAATTGTGTGAATAACGCTACCGACAAAAAAGCAGTTGACTCCACGCATCAGACTCAACCAAGAGTACAAAGGGTGGATCCGAAAATCTCGCCTGGGTTGTGTTAGATAACGTATAATTGGAATTCACGTCGTAACAGTGGACCGCACCAACTTTGCCCTGACTGGGCGGGGTGGGTACTGACCCATGGTATCTTCGGATGGAAAAGGGAAAGAACGGTGCATGAAGCGTCTTTGAATAACTCATGCACAGTTAGCCAGCGCCCGACTGAGGCGTCTGGGACAACCGTGCCCAGCCGCGGGAAATTGACTTCTCACCCAGGGATCTCCACTTTAAGATGTCGTACGAGAAAAACGAAGATACCGTTGTGAAAGTCTGTCAAATCATGAAGAAGATATAGATAACACAGTATTAAGAGCCGTATTCATCGGAGAAAATCAGGGAAATGTAAATGAAGACGCGTTGGTACTTCGGCAACATGCCTTTATTGAAACAAAGCATAAGTAAATTCAGAATTGCTTGCCGATGATTCTGCTCGATTTTTCTTCTTTTTTTAAACAGCGAGCCACAGTTTCTACAGGACACCAACATTCGGGGGATTAAGCAGGGAACAATTGCCAGCCATTTCTACGATGCAGTGCATATCTAAGAATTGGAATGCTAATAAATAATAAGATGAATGGTTTGCATGTGCACATATTTTTGCCTATTCTAATTCTTAGTTAGATACGCACTGTGTAGTGGTAATGGCTGTCAATTGCTCCTTGTTTAATCCCCTGAATATTGATGTCCTTAGAAAACCGCGGCTCGCTGTTTCAAAAGAACTAACCTGAAAAATCTAGTAGGATCATCGGTAGGTAATTTTAAGTTCACTTCTGCTATTATGTCGATAAAGACATCTTGCCGAAATGTCAACACATCTATATCTCCATTCTCCTGTTTTTCCTCCGATGAATAAGGTTATCACTATTGTCTTATCTACGTGAACAATGTTCCTCGCAACTGCGCTTAACAACTTACGTTATCACTAAGAATACACACCAAATATTAAAAATGCGGCGGGGCGAAATGCGGCGACATCAAATTAGATACCAGTCGAAAAACGCTAGCGTGAACAGGGCTAAGTTTTGCTGGGATAAAACAATATCATTACTTTAGACTCCACGGAAAGTGAGAACAGCCGTCTACCACTGCACATTGTTTCGCTGAGCTCGCAGCCTTCATATCGTCTTGCACGAAAACAGAGTGCACAATTTCTTCACGCACCATGTCCCATACGCTCACCTAGACGTTTTTATCTTATCACCCACGTGACTTTGTAATGCCGATGTTTTTCATGTTCGTTGCTGCTTCTTTTGACGGTGACGACGATGGACGCGTTACAGTCATCATTGAGCGGGGATGTGTTGACATCCCAAATGAATGCAGACAAAACGTCAATACATGCATGAAAATTCAGTTTCAAACACTATCATGTAAGAAAAATGTTCGCACGCATCAGTACGATACCTTTCATACCGATGAATTTGCTAACCTTTGATGTCGACGAATTTGTAGACATCCTGTGTGGTTGGTCCAGCTTGCTTCTTGACGCCACTGGCCACCGCGCTGTCGGTGTTACCCATGGTGCCGCAGAGTAAGGGGGAGAGGCGAGGTCAGGGCGCACGCCGGCCGAGCGAGGAATCGAAGCGCGGTCACGCGGCGGTCAGTGGCCGGTCACAGGACAGTGGGGAGAAGACCGGGTACGGCTGAACGGCTGAACGACCGGTAGGCGCCGCGAGTGTGCTCAACACCCATGTGGTGAAGGAGGGGAAGTCAGTACTGGTTACGTGGGACAGAGGACACCATCACACCATGGTCACGTGAGACATGCCGAGCCGTGACGCTAAGCAGCGGCGCTGTGCGGCTGAGGACGGACAGCAGCGGTGCTGAGCCGTTGAGGACGACCGCGACCTAGCAGCGCCGGCGGCTGCTAGCTGCGAATTACCGGGCGTCGCGTGGCTCTGGCCCCGGGGAGATCCGGGGCTGGTACAGGCGCGTGCCGCCGCCACCGACCGCCGACTTCGCGCGCCCATCAGCCCCTCCCCTCCCGTCTGGTGGGGTGGGGGAAGAGCCCTGACTCGGTCAAGACGGACACCGACGTAATGTAGGCGATTCCAGGCTCAAGGGAGGACTTGGACCCGCTCTGACCAAAGGCAAATGTTGGACATACGTGGTTGAGTGGCTCGGAATTGCACAATGGCAGCTCCGACTGATCCCGACACAACGCGCCGTCGCCTTGGACTGTTCAGGAGCGACTGGCTGACTCTTGACTGACCGGACTCACCAGGCTGATTGTGCATTGGATAATTTTTTAAACGGCCGTCCGACATGTTACCTCGGCACCGACAGCCACGTGCCGTCCAAGGCGATGTGCAACTAAACTAGTATGGCGTTTTACCACACCGTCGAAGCAGCAATGTGAGTGCCGAAAAACTTGTGATGTTCAATGCTGACACGAAACGCTCATTCTTTGTATAGGAACTGGTCTTACCAAGTGACACAGGCAGGGGAAAGGGCTCAAGAGGCACCTGTTCCTCCCCTAGGTTCCGAGAGGCCCGAAGAGCCCCTCGGAGCCGACGAATAAGGGCCTGATATGATATCTACCTGGATACCTGAATAAGATCTGAAGGTCCGAAGTGTCCAAAAAGCCGTGCATAGTTCGCATTCAGGGACCCGCCCCTGTGGACCCGGCGGAGGGCACTTCAATGGCATCCAGCGGGCCCTTTGCACCGATCGGGGCCCCCTGAGTCGATAAGGGCTGATATGTCAGCCAGGCACCATCAGCACCGACAATCGGTTTCCTTTCGATATAGGTGTGCAGACCCATTTCCCAAGTAGAGACAAAGTAGGCCAGCGTTTTACATTGGTTGGGATTCTCAGCGTCAGCCAGCGGACAAAGCCCGGGTCAGCAATTTGCACCGCGCGGGACCCCTCTATTTGTCAGCAGCCAGTATGTGGCTGATTTATTTATATCGATCGGTAGCATTCATTTCTTAGAGCTCCCTTCCATTGATTAGATATCTTAACCGCCCCGGACCTTGTCCCCTTTCAAATTTTTGATCAAAGGTCAAGGTGTTCGGGTAAGCCCACAACGTTTTCAATACGTTTCACACAATTCACTCCTAATATGACGCACGTGTTGTTAACGTCAGCGAGTAGTCTTCAGATATGGAAGCTCGTAAGCACTGGCAGCAGACTTCAAACACCACGACTAAAGCCATTGTGCAAGCAAGGCATTTGCTTACAGTGATTTTTGCACCTCTTTCGGCTGGTGCTAATCTTGGAGAATAATTCGAAATGTCGAGTTGTTTCGGACTGGCGCCCAGCACTGCGAACACGGATAATAATCGGAGATGGTCTTTCAGGCCGATAAAGAATGCTGGATAGATAACATAGCCTGGAAAAGACAGGCAATCCTTTTTCGCCAAGGTTAACTATTACCATTTGCTATGCATGGCGCACCCGTGATGAGACGGGAAAAATTTATAAATCTGTAAATGGAGAACTTCCGTGGATGATTATCATAGTGGTAAGCCATTTGTCGGGTAATTTTCTAAACTGTGCCAAGGAGAAACATCCAATAAAATGTGACGTGCTAGTATTGACTATTTGCTAACGCAAAGACAATTTGCAGTTTAAACGCCATACGATAAACTACCCAAAGCGCTGCCTGCCATCTATTGGGTGACAAGCGAGTCAGTGGTGCCGATCTGGTCCGTGTTAGATCGATCACGAGGACACGTCAATCGACCTAGCGCAAAAGACAAAACCTGTGCAAAAGCTATGAAACGCCCGAAAACTTTCGAATCCACGCCTTCCTTAGCTAGGTTACATACCAAAATAAAGCAAAAATGATCCATGGTACAACAACCACACACCATCAAGCACTTCATTTTGAGTCGATCGGTACATGATGCACCTGAAAGTGCACAAAGTAATCAGATACCTCGAGTGCCGGAGTTTCTCTTCTTCAGATGAGTTGGAGGAGGGCGCTTAGCCTGCAAGGCTGACCTGACCCATTTTCAAAACCCGATTCCTTTCCGGATTTTGGTCCAAATTCGGCCTGCGGCACGCTTAACTTGACTTACATCTGTTCACTGCCCCTCCCCGATTGCATAATCCGGCGAATAGAGACATACTGAAAACAAACTGTCTACGAACGAAATTTCTGTTTATGTATAGTAAGCTGTGTATACTGATGAATGCGACCAGTCACATTTAACTTAAAAGCTGCCGCATACTGCAGTGATTTTTGTCCCCATCTATGAGCTATCGTGTGAAAAACTGTCAATAACAGCAAACTCATCAACTCATAACATAGTTGGAATGGCAAAGGCATGCGGGTAACCTATATGTGGTAAAAAATAACATGAAATTTATGCTGCCGCTTCCAGCTAGGCACTTAGGGCAGAGGCACTTTAGGTAAATGTTCTGCATTTCATATATCCAATACTCCTGTTTTGCACACATAAAAAGTCCCCACATCAGGGAGCTGTGAGGAGCAGTGGCTGGCTCAAACCAGCATTTAAGCACGGGATCCCGACAAACGTTGACACCCCTGATTGTGTATGATTTCTAGCTGCGGCCAAAGTGCAGGATAAGGACAAAGCCTCCTGTGATGTGTAAGGGTGAGTAGGTAGAATGATCAGAGTGAGAGTGAGTTTACGCCGTTCCTTTGCCGCTTCTTCATACTTGTCCTGTATGACCTGTGGATGTGATGAATGTGCTGTAGCTACATTTGGTCAGCGTATGTACTGACCATGTGTGTTATATCACATCATGAGTGTGACCATTGGTGGATCGCTTCTTATCGCAAACCTCCCAATGCCGTCGGAGCATGACTGAAGAAAACTTAGTTGGTCATGCGTTGGCATGTGGCATTTACCTGGCGAGCATGACGCTGATTTTCTGGTGCTGCACACGCTGGTTGAAGAGGAATCTGACGAGCGTCCATGGTACCAGGTGCCAGGTGTACCACCAGGAGTCACCAGCTATACAAGGTGTCGACCAGGAGTCACTTTCTAGAATCGGTTGGGGCCGGCTGAACTGATGAGTTTGACCTAACCTACTTCCGGATCTCACCAGCCACCTCAATTTATGTCCCGAAGTTGAAAATGGTTTATTGGAAAATGACGCGCATGCCGTGGACAAGCGACCTGCTGATTGACGACTTGCAGCAGGTTCAGCTGTTGCGCACCCTGGACTACCGAGGGGCCTATCTGGAGCACATTCTGCTGTCACAATTTGACGGATGTGGAATCGCTGACGACTATCGCTGTCGCTGGCCGTGTTTTGCCATTGGATTGACATTCAGATACCACCAGTCAGTATTGCGCGCCAAACACACCACAAAAGACAAATATACTTGTCACTGTTGAGGGAAACATAGTTTAAGTTTATCTGACTGATTGATATGAAATTGACATTATATGAAAAAATTTCCAAACTTTAATCGATTTTCAAGATCGCCTTAGAGCAAAATGCCTTTCGGCGATGAAACAAGATGAGCAGGACGTACAGACACCAAAGCAGATGTGGCCGTTGCTGTTAGCCAGTGGAGCGCAGCACCGGATTTTAGAAAGAGCGTGTTAACAAACCCATAGTTCTCACAAACGATTCTTGAATGGTCAGTTTTGGATAACTACTCCGGCCGGTTCCGAAGCCATAGGTCGTCTAAACAAGCAGGACTTTCCTCGGCTGTTGGCATGCTGGATAACAAATATGAAGGAGATCGGCTGGAAGCTAAAGACCAACAAAAGGTTAGCAGGCCAATATACGCAGAACATTCTTACCTGCCTACACATGCCAAACGTCAATTCATCCTTTTCATGACCAACTGGCACGTGTTGGAGACCGGTTAGGTAACTCACCAAAATGACATGTAAGCATCAGGACTGGCGTGGACAATGCCTTAAATAATCATGTATTATCCTCAACGCTTTTATCGAAAATCCCGTAAGAAAATTCACTGGTCATGCAGTACAGGGAGTATCCCACCTTTTTATATTTTCACTTTTGATTACATCAGAGGCGTACAATTTTATCAAGGTGCCAGTTTTCCCAAATTCCTTATGAACAACTCAGGATTTTTATTTGAAGTAGCCGATCCTGCTGGAAAAGTATAATTTGACTTCCTGCTCACTGAAATGAGAGTAAAACATTTCATTTGTCCTTACTTTTTCTAATGTGCATGCTCTATAAATAATGCGTCAAAAGGTGTGTGAAATAATTGCTACGAAAGCTTGGAACACTCTGTTTCAGACACACATATATTCGAACATCAAGCTTTTATCCCGCGAATTCAATGAAGCGTTATACCATGGCTCTGATTTCTCCCCTATGACGTTGACCATAGTGACCTTTTTCGAGGCACACTATGGCTTTGGAAATGGGAGCATCACATGTTTTATGTGACGCACTGGTTCAAGGTTCAAGCAACCAACTTCTCGGTAACAAACTCTTGCTCGCTGGACCAGTCACAAACTTTTTTAATCGCACCAGCAGAGGTGCGCACAGTAGTTGTCATGGCGGCGGTGTTCGTGACCGCAGGGAAGAAGCGTAATGCTGTTACAAGGCGTTGACA